TGCGTCGGAAAACACCTGCGTTTTAGTAACCTAGAGCGGGCAGACAATCGTTTGTTGCCGGCCTTCCGTAGCGGCGCGTTGTGAAATCGTCATCGCGTAAGATACGATTGCGACGATAACGACGAGGCGGTTACTATTAGCATCTTTCCGTATTACTACATTTGCGATGCGTGCATGAATAATTTTAACGCGAATCCATTCGAATCAAGGAGACAATCGCGAAGAATCTCTAGTTGGAAAGAAGATTTGATTTTATCTTCGTAATAATTTAGCGAATGGAAACTAAAAAGGACCTTACTGTCGGAACGGTGAATATATAAAATTGATATTTAAAAAATTTCTCAATAAAGCGCAATAATGTGTAATTTTCACGAAGTTGTTAGTTCAATTAGATTAAAATATTTCTCACGTAAATAAAAATAACCACATGTCGCTATTTCTTATGTATATATAAGGTGATGTCTGTAGAGTAATTTTTGATGTTTCTCTTCGGTTAACGCCACCCGTGGTGTAAGGAGATTGAAAAAAAAATACGGAACAGAATGGAGAGAGAGAGAAAAAGAAAGATGCAGGGAAAAAGCGGGCGTTACCAAAGAAAGACCCGTTGTCGCCGGTAAAATCAGCCGAATGGAAAAATCGGACGTCGGATGGGCTCATTACCGATTCGGCATGTGAATTGCTCAATTTGCAGCTGCAAAGGCACGAACGAGCTCACCTGGTGCAAGCGTAGCACCTAAGGCGTGACGGGGGGGGGGGGGATAAGAAATCGCCGCATTGATCGGATGTATGGAAGTAATGGCGAAATTAAGATATTTACTCGCAATGTTATTTAGGATTTGTTACATATAATGTCGCATTGAAAACTTGTCTAATGCAAACAAACAAGACAATCTTTAATTCTGATTATGTTTTACGGGCCACGAAGCTAATTTTCGAATAATATATAGCGTAAAATATGTGATATTTTTCTCAATTTTGCAATGTGATATTTTAATTAATGTACATAATATAGTCCTGTGCTCGAATTAAATTTCTTGAATAGAATAAATATTTGTAAGATCAATAAACTACGCAGTCTATTTAATAAAACATTATAATTATTTAACATATTTCATTAATAGCTTCTTAATTAATCTATAAATATTTGTTCAGTAGAGCAATAACCTCTCGATCGATATCAATATTTTTAATAATGACAAGAAATTGTATTACCATAAAAGATTACCATAAAATTATAGCAGATTTATAGAGATAGATGCATCACTGGCAAATCGCATGGGAGTCAAAATTTAGTTATGAGAAAAAATAACCGTAACTGTAATTAAGATTACTTAATTATTTTTGAATATTTTATATGTTACAGACTTTTACGCGACTTTTGTTGCTCACTTGCAATGCACTTCTATAAACTTGCTGCGGTTGCAAAATAATCGGGAAATACATACATTTCTTATCATTTATCAGTCGTATTTATTTCTTGACATTATTTTACGCTATTTTACGATTCCGATTTTTCTAAAATGTTAATATTTCATATACAAGTATTTTTGTCGTATATTTATTACTAATTATTAGCATCTTTAAAATAATAATCAATTTTTTGAGAAAAAATAGACGTGATATATTTTTTAAGTATTTTTTTATACATATCAACAATTAATATTCTTTATATATGTGAAATATGTGAGAAATTATAACAAACAAAAACATCTGAATAACTTTTAAATAACTTCTTGTAACATATGATGAATGTTTTTAACTAACAAGTGGCACTACCTGTTGCAAGTTGCGCTCACTAACAGCATGGAACTTTACTCGTCGGTAAAGTATTTACTTACATATCAGTTACAATGCATTGTATCTTACCATGTGAAAAGGAGATAAAGAAAAAAAAAGTATATATATTATATAACGCTACATGTTTAAAGATGCTAATAATTGTATCTAATTTAATTTTTGTAAATCCATTATTTTTCCAAAGAATAAAATAAAAAAATAATTAAGAGGACTCACCAATACAATAGGGCATTATGGTCCACAGTCCACACTGAACTATAAAATACAAAAATATTCAAAAATTAAATTAATTATTTAAACCACCAAATATATCTTTATCTTATATCTATTAATATTCACCAAAAATAATAAGTAATACTTTCAAACCAACTATTACATGCACTTAATTATTTCTATATTTTTTAATAAATTATGATTAATAAAAGAGTAATATATAATTTTCAAGGAAAACAAAATTTTATTAAATATAAATCTTTATATTAGTTTAAAAAAAAATCTCTAATTTTTGTTCTAATTTATACAAATAATTCAAATAATCATTGTGCTTTTTTTTAATCAAAATAAAATGTTTCATATATATCTTTATATAGGTACAAAAATATTAAACAAAATAAATGTATTATTAAATTATTATTTTAAGCATTTCTCAAAATAATATATCTTGTATATACATAATTTTGCAAAATAATATATCGAATGCCCGACCGTGCGGGAAGCGGAGATGGGGGGAGAAAGGTAGGAAACCGTATCGCGTAACAAATAAAATAATAAATAAGTCACTATGCTTACCCATAGCTGTTCCATCGTCGTCCGATGCCTCCTCTTGTTCCTCCGTGATGGCACTCACACACATTCGCGAAAGCACGGTTAAACCACGATCGGCCGTGCAGCACCGAAATATAATGATCGCGCGGCACTTTGTACGGCCCGACGTAAATTTAAACGCGACGCGCAAACTTTATTACAGTCGTAAGATCAACGTGGCAGATTACGCGCATATACATACGATACGATCGCATCAGGAAGCGATTCGCTCGACACTACAGGACGACGGACGAATAGCGAAGCGAATTCGGAGATTTCGCGGCCAACTTTACGCGCCACAGGTGTTTACCGCCACGGCGATGATGCTTCTAGCCTAGCTGAATGTCCCATACTTTCCGCATTTTGAACAGTGAATTATTATATGTGTAGTCCCACGTTTCATGGCAATTATCCGCATTGTAATGCAAATAAATTTGAATGGCAAGATTGGCAAGTATTCACGGAATGTAATTAATCTATATAGATATACGAATATGATCGTCGTTTTGCTGGTCTGCTCGCGCGATGAAATCGATAGAATAAATTCCACGAAATATGCGTATTAATGAATCCGTAAACTTATGCTATGCAATAATCAGAAAACGCGATTATAGACATCAGATTGATATAACGATTGCACTTACTAATTATTTTAATTGCGACGTCGCTCGACTTGGAGAATGTGCATATTACGAATTAATTAATAAGTAATTATCATATTGTGATTCCCGCGTTTGCATATGAGGATCAATAACTCGCGTATTAGTTCGCATATCTGTTCCCTGCTTAAAATATCCGATAGATCATTGATAAAAGTAGATTTAAACTTCATTGAAATTTTATCTAATTTTATAGTAAACTTATCGTTTCAATCGGACTCACATTTGAGTTATTATAGAGAAGTTATCTATTTCTATCGTTTTTTAATAGTATATATCTTACTTAAATATTAAATACAAATCTGACCGTGTATATTTTTAAATATAATTTTATCGAGTTATCTAATCCAACTAAAAATTATGATTTACTACATATTCTGTTATATTTGTAAGAAATATTAAAATTACTTGTACATGAGAAAGACACAAAATCTCTAAAATTGAAATATTACATAATAAATCATACATTAACTGAAAACATTGTATACGATAATATCAATTTTGACTAAATCTGGTCAGAGATAAACATTACTTAATTAAAGATGACTTTTAAATTAACTAAATATAGAGTAAAAAAATATAACAATCTGATATTTACGAGCCAAAAAACACGATAGAATTGTATAGGTTTTTTTTTTATCTAATATTCTAATTCTATCGGATCATTCAAACAGGGTTCTACCTAACCTCGGTTTTACCTAACGGAGAAGCGTGAGAAACCGTTTCGACAGATGCGTGGCTGTCTCGATCTGCTTACCAGTCGTCAATCGCGCGTGTTAATCAATCATGCCAAATGAGCAATTGTTAATTGTAATATTTCCAACCCGGTAAGACAACGAGAGATATGCGGAGCGGCACGCACCGCTACCGTCTCGCTCGCGTCGTGCCGTACGAGTGTAGCGTGGTCACCCAGGTCACCTTGCGCGAGGACAACAGTGCCGCGGCGCGCGGCGCGGCGCGCGTGGCGCGCGTCGTACGCTCCACTCAAATCAAACGTACGCCGAGCGTTGTCGCGTGCTTTTACGTTCGCGCAATATTCTGTTGGTTACAATTTGAAGTAATCTCTATCACATGAGTTTTTATCACACGTTTTGTACATACTTTATCCTGTGGATTCGTTAGTGTTGAATAATTTATGTTAGATCTCAAGGTTGAATTTTATTCGTAATTTTTACATACATGCATTTTGATGTGTGTATGTATGTTAATATTTTATATATGTGCACATATCTGATCCTTCAAATGTTTTTGTATGACGTGGCCACTTAGAGCAATTGAAATTGTTTATAAAATATCCCTGCATGTCATATATCTTTTCCATGAATACAATTTTTTCCCTTAATCATTGATTGTAGTTATTAATTTAATCCGAAGTACCAAGTACAATGTATGTTAAATTCGTGTACATTATTTGTGATTATTCTTTTTTTAACTTTTCAGTAATTGTACTTTATCTTTTTAATTCTTATAATATTATTTCATATTTACAATTAATTTTTTTTGTTAGTTACCACAGCTACGCACAATTTAAAGACTGATATTATTTTCGTAAAATTAGAATTATTCTTAAAATTTAAATATAGTTGAAAGAATTTTGACTCTTTTCCACAGATATCGAAAGCTTCTTTAAAAATAATATTAATGATTCATTTTCAAAACGATAAAAGCAAAAATGGGGTTTTTAGTATTTAGTTCTACATAGCAAAAGAAAATATGTTTTATCAAAAGAAATTAACAAAATTAAAGATTATACTATATTTATGTAATATTTCACATTTTTTCACAATTTTTTCGCAACTACACATAGTATTGATATATTTCACTAATTATTTATTTTAAACATTATATTAAATTTCGCACATATACATATACACAATTCTTGACATGTTAGTATACTTGTATCTAATTACTTTAGAAAATTATGTCTTACTAAAGAGAAATAATAGCGAATACATATTAATAAAAACTAAAAGGTGATATTTTTATCTATTTAAAAATCTTGTTCATTGGTACACGGGTGAAAATATCATTGGTGATTTTATTGAAGACCAAACCGAAAGATTCTTCATAAGGTGCTTCAAGTTCCTTGAAAATTAAATCGGAATTCTGATTGAAGAATTTTTGCGTTTGTTCACCTGTAATCAGCGAAACATAGAAAAATTAATATAAAACATATAAAAATTAATATAACATAATATTTAAAAAATATATAAACATAATAAGTGATAATTTGTCATTTTTTAATATTAATTTAAGAAGAACTAAGAAATTAATATTTTTTTTAATAGAAGTTAAAAAATTCATCATTATTTTACAAGATCTTTGCCTATATTTTCGAATTAAACATAAAAAAGTAGATACAATTACAGATTTTGTAAAAAATATTGATACATTATGCAAAATCTATATAATGTATATTATAAATCTACATTTGTATCTACATGTGTATATTATCATATATTGTCATAAATTGGTATTTTGTTTCTACTTATTTGCAACAGAATAATATCAATAACTCTGCTATCAAGATATTGATTAAGTAATATATAATTAAAAATAAAATAAAAACAAAAATACCTAAAACAGAATCTCCATTGAAGAGATTATCAAAATGTAAGTTTACGTGTTTGGGTAAAAAGTTGACAATGTATTTCTTCGCTCTCATATAAGTATCCCCATTCTTTTCAAACTTTTCATAATGTGTTTCGTGTTTCACGTTCAAATCATCTAAAAAAACATAAAATAAAAATTAATCGACTTAGTCAATAAAAAATTTATTGTTAAAGTTGTTTTTAGATGATCTATAATTCGTATCAGAATTTGAAATAAAATTCTATTTACATCATTCATATCATATAAGCAAAAATTTAAAAAGAATCAGAATATTTTATATATATATTCAAATGCACATATAAAAAATTGAAATACATAAAATGATATATCAATCTATAAACAGAATTCTATGTATTCTGAAATCTAATACAAAATATAGATCATCTAAATTTCAAATTATAAATAATGATACAATATCACATGCAATTATAGGAATATATTATATATTTACACATAGTTATATTGCATTTGCCCTCTCCTCGAATTGGCAATAGCAGAATATTGCCTTGGAGTTTGTAATCGGCAATAAAGTCCACTTGAGGATTGAAAGATTCCGATTTAAATATTAATTTATCCCAGTCTATTCTAAAGAAAATAATGATCAATATGTTAGTTAAAAGTATGTAATTAATAGTACATTTTATATAATCGATTATCTATAAATTATATGTAATCAATACTGGTCACGTGTCTTTAAATATAACAAAACTGAATTGAAAATAAATGTTTTGGTACAATCTATAATTAAAACTGTGTAATTAATTTTATGCCGAGAGATAGCTTGAGATTTGTTCGTTTTACAGAAAACTACGTACTGATAATTGTAAACTTGCAAACCCTTCGTCAGTCCGTATAACTTGACATTCCGATATTCCTGCTGGAGAGACACCGTACCCTCGGATTCACCGATTTTGATGCTGTCGACCGCTAGCGGCTCAAGAGGCAGAATTTTGAAGGCCTTCAAACCTAAACATGAACACGACAGGTTCTCGATATGCGAAGTTAATGTCATCTCATTCTAATGCAACTTGATTGCATTCCGCTATGCATCGTACATAATTTATACAGCTATACCATAAGATGATAATTGCAGAATTAAAAAAATACAATCTATTACATACACATAACTAATCATAGATTTATTTAGATTGTATTGCATTATATATTCTCTATATTATTCTTAATATAAAATAATTTTATAAATAATAATGTTATTGTTTCATAACTGAATAAAGTTAATTATTCATATTCTGCAAATCTGTAGTAATGATTCACAAAAATATTTTTAGAAGCGTTAATTTGCATATTTTTACAATTTATATCGCTTTAATGTAATTGTAATTACGCATATTATCATAGGAATTTATTAAACGTATACGTGTATTATAAGATAACAATACATCTAATAATTCACATCAGTGAACGCGGATTAAAATCAGATAATCCGTAAATTATTCGATTATGCAAATCTAACGTGACTTTTGTAGCTCTGATGGGTGTGCGCGTACTTGCAAATTGCTTGTAGTGTAAACAGGAACTGAGCTTCAACTTTGTTAGTCACATAACTTCTTGAAACGAGAAATGATTATTTACTGCATATTCGCGAAGTTACATAATTTATCAAAATATTTTTGTTTCAAGCCATAACTCTTTGTCAACTATTCGTAAATACTTCTTTATAATTACTTTTATTGATTTGACTTTTAATCTTTCTCAGAAAAAATATCCGAATCTTAAAGTCCCTTGTTTTTTTTAAATATACATATATATTCTATTATTAATTTAATAAAAAAAAAGTAAACGAGTCAAGGAAAATTTCCGTAAAACATTACATTTCTTCGCAGAAAATGAATATTTATTGTGTACTTCTGATGAAATCATCATCGAAAAAAAACTTGATCACTTTAACGAGAACTGCATAATGCGTAGAAAAAAATGATTGAATAATTGCTTATATATAAACCGATTCAGATTTAAGAATAGATTTGTTTGTGCTGCAAGAGTTATGACGTACCCAGATAGCACACAAAGTTCAAGAAGAATTTATTTTTATATTCAATCATTAATTCTGAATTGTTTTTAAACTCTGTGCTATCTGTGTTTCATTAATTGCAAATTATTGCAATAACAAAATATAAAAAGTATTGAAAAAAATTTTAATCTCTAAAATTTTGAGACAACGTCCAAATTTAAAGGTATCATTTTATAAGAGATTTTGATTAATTCTTATATAATCAAAAGTGGAATTAGATGAAATAGATTTTATTGTATAAGCAAATAATTTAATATAATTTTACTTTTTACGAACAAACTAAATTATTATCAAATAATATGCTTCAAAAAATTTTGCAATAAAATTTTTATGAAACCTAATATAATAACTCTAATTTTGCAACAATTGTGATTTACTATCATTGCTTTTCATGTAGGTATTGAAAGGCGTTTAGTCATTTTGAAAAAATTCTGCTTAATGTAATATTAATTATGATAATATCATATAAATGGTAAAATAGCATTGAACTGTAAATGCTATTTGAGAATAAATTAACTTCTATTGTATAATTATATGACAATTAGATATTCCATTACGCACTGCCAGTTCGCCATGACACGTCCTATTCCGCGATGAGCTAATAAATACTCTTCACATTAAGAAACGTTATGTTTGCGGTGGAAGATAATGCGGCATCTCGTTTAATTTCCGTGCACGTCGAAGTAATTTGAATTTTATAGACGCGAGATTTTATGGACTCTTTATAACGCTTGCTAAAGTAATAGTACTAGAAAATAACCATTATGGTTTAACCACTACTCAGATTTCCGAGAAATACATAAAAGTGATAACAAGTATAATACATGCATACGAAAATAGATATATTCCTAACTCTATATATATACATATATGTTATATATACACACTTATATATTCTAAATTATTATTTTGTATGTGTATAATTTTGTGAAATATTTTTATTATTACAAAATTATTTACTTATATTTTTTACTTATAAGAAATAAATAGATTTTTTCTTTACAAAGTTTATTGAATATCAGAATATATTAATAGTTCATTAGTTTAGGAACTACAGAGATTTTCTGAAAAAAATCGATATTGCATTAATAATACTAACGGTAATTGTTTACTAATTTTTCTAAAATAATAATGATTAACGTGCAAAATATTGTTTGAATTGAGTTTTTGCTTGCAACAGACTTGTATTAAATTTACACTTTGTTTTTAAGAGATATTTTTAATTATAAGTCGAGACGAATAAATTACAATTTGTTTTAATGATATTTGTAATGCGTAAAAAAATATTCTATCAAATAGGACTTCTGTTGAATTCTCTTAATATTTAAACTGTTAAAACAATTGAATTGTTAGAATCTCCACGATAACAATTATCTAAGACACAAAGTACAAGTGTACAACAAAAGATTAATTAGAATTAATCACAGAAAAGTCGCAATCTTATAACAATGAAATGATTATTGATATCATTTCTAAGAATAGGAGATGATATGTATAATTTAATTTTTTCTAAGCTATTCTTTTCAAGCTATTCAATGTTATGATAAAAAAAAGTAAAAAATTCTATTCATTATCCGTGCATAATGAAAACGGAGAAATTACGAGAAAAACTGGAAAGATTTAATTTGATTATTCTTAAACTATGCACATTTTTAACCTTAAGATTTTTTAATATCACATTTGTGACAAAAAAAATGACGCATATATCTACCTCCAGCCATCGACACAACCGCATCTCTGGCAGCTTCCGCAATGCATTCTAATACTTTCGGGTCCGAAGACTGACAAGTCTTGAAATTGCTGGCTGTAAAATAGAAAAAGAGAAAAAACTATCGTGTGTAAGATATTATATAAGTGACTGCATTGCTGCAGATCCAATAAACCCGCGTGCTCACTCGATCTTTAAACGGTTGTTGGCTTTCTCTTTAAACTTGCAGTCATGTCAATTTCGGTCAACGGTATATAACGTAATACAATTTAATAAAAAGCAAATAATCGCAAATGGATCCAATTGTTATTTTTGATGTAACAATATTAAATGATTTAGCGATTTAGTGATTATCTAGATTGAAAATGAATTAAATATTGTATTTGACTGAAAACTGTATAGTCTAGTCCAAAGTTTAATTTTTCTACTATTAAATATAATTTTTTAAATAACATATTTCACATATTTTTTTAATAAAAAAATTTATTTATATGTATTATTATTATTACATTTATTATTAAAAATATTTTGGATAAATTTACGTCAATTTTCTATTATTTAGCATCAAATTTGATGTTAATTAAATTTTATATATTTTTAAATACTTTTTAAAATATTAAATCAAAATTGATTTTGTTAAATTCAATAAAAATATAAAATTACATTAACAAAGTAGTCTACAATTATAATAAAATTTATAATCATATTAAAATTAGTTTCGATCTTTACTCACAATCAAATTTTTTTCAGTCAACAATTGATTATGAACTAACTTGAAATAACTTAGTTGATAGACAGTTATTGCAGGCTGAACCCGAGAAAAAATTACGAAAAATCCGAGTAATTCTCGGATGACTAATTCGAACAGAGTATCATTAGACTATTACTAATTCAATATACAAAAAACTATATTAAATAATTTTTTATGCTTTATATTTTATTAAAAATATAGACTTTTTAGAAAATTTATTTTATTCAAAAATATTAAAATATTTTAAATATTTCAAACTTTAATTTTACCTAAAAATTAAAAATATTTTATTATAGTTTTTAAAAAATTCAAAAATTTGCCAATATATTATTTCAAACACATATTTAATAACTTGAGAGGTTTTTTATAATATTTTTGATAAAATAACTTCATTAAAGAAATGGTACATATAATTATGTTACTTACGCAGATCTAACGCCATCGTGCTTACAATCACTGCGAGCAAGAGAATCGTCTTCATTATTCCTGAATTTTATCTTCCGCTCGACTAAGAAAAAAGTTTTAGTAGACGAAAATGTTCACTAAATGTTTAATGTTGAACTGGAAGACGTGGTTAATCCAGGCAGGCTATTTAAGCACCGCTTGCCCCACCATGCTTCTACACTGGACATCGTTTGTATATACTGTATATGTATGTATATATGTATATGTACGTTCAGGGTGAGGCATAGAAAGTGAACACCTGTTATTGTCCAGCGACATGTCCAGGATAGGTCAACTATCAGTCGCCGTGACTTATCCGCTCAGATGATTATTTGACGTATATCAATGAATATGGGAGATATTAATTTTATACAATTGTACAAGAAAAATTCGGCAATTATGGTCCTAAGATATTCAGTGGCCTGCACATGCGTATCTTGCAACCAAAATATGTAATAATTTTGCGATTTTTAAATCTAAATGCTATAAGACACAAAAAAATTATGATTATGAAAATTATGACACATAAAATATTAATGATAAAAAATAAAATTATTTTCAAACAATTATGAAATTGCCTTACAAACATTCTCTCTGAATACTTAATTGTTATTTAAATTGGGATTTCCAATGTTTTTTATCCTTGCACATTGCTTTTACGTTCTGTTTTGAACAATTCAAATCGAAAGATGTTCTTGGAATGATGTGACTGTAGCATCAACGCTTGAAATGATTCATTAGTGACATCCGAAATGAAAATAAGTAACAAAAGAATAGCAAACGTGCCGCGAACGTCGCAAATGAGTTTTCTCGGAATTATGAGATTTGTTTAAGCCTAAATTGTACTCAGCACGCGTTTGCTCTGCCGAAATTGAATCCGAACGAAGGTGTGTTTGACATTGACGCGTTTGTGCGTCCACTTACGCATTACTTGAAACTTGTACGATCTTATACATTATTCGGCAAACAGTGAATAAATTAGCACAAATTAATTTAAATGCCTTACAATTTCGTGGATCGATCCGATCTTCCATGAGAATAAGAGAATAAAAATTTCTGTAAGAAAGTTTTTTAGTTAAAAAAGAATCATGGATTATAACATGTACTTATATATTTTAACGCTATTTTATATTTTAGATAAATGTAATTAATATTTATTTCTTTTAATTACATGTATTTAACAATCTTCTCATTTATTCTTTTCTTTTTTTTGTAAGACAAATTGGTGACTTTAAGATCATAGTATTATATTTATATATCACATTTATTAATAAGCCGATAAAAAGAAAATTTTAATTCAATAGCTCTAGTCAGAATAGAAGTTTCTTAAATTTTTGGTCATAAAAACAATGCCGTTGGGCAAATTGCTTCATAATGTCAAGTTTCAAAGTCACTTTTAATTTTAGGATGAGAAATCAATTTTTTATAGATAGATATGAATTTTAAATCAATTTTTTATAGAGAAATCAATATTGAATCAATTAAATTTACTGAATATTGACGTCTTTCTATAATTTTATTTTTCCTTATGCATATTTTTTGCATTTTATTCATCTAAGTGGTCGAGTTAATTTAAATTTCTTTTTTGCCCGTGTATGTGTGTGTGTGTACATTTTTGTTTCTAAATTATAAAATTATATACACGTGTGTAAATTTAATTGCGATATTTAAATAACGTATCTGTCTTAATTCAAAGTGAAAAGCACGTATTGCTTCATCCAACCGAATAACTCCTTAAAATTTCAGAGAAGACTTGGCAATGGCCTTGACATTGTTTAAAGTGGTTTATGAGTCACTTCTTAGTAAGATATGTGCTATACAAACTTATTACTTGTTACATGTAGTAAACAAGAAAAAATTTCTAATTATCATTTTTTAAATACAAATTAATTATGTCTGTATTAATTAGTATTTAATTTCGCATTAATATTTCTTGTTATTCTTTTTTATACTTGTATCTTTTATTATCTTTGTTACATTTTATTTTGAAACAAATGTACATAGAGATACATTTTTTACGCACTAAAATTGCAATTCTCAAAACATAAGTTATACCAACATCAAATGCAATAAATATGTGAAAATAAAATTTTAATTGTAAATGTCTTTAATGTCATATATGTGAATTAGGTATTATGAGATATTGTTAATTTTAAATAAAATAATAAGAAAATAATTGGACATGCGGCTTAGGGATTCCTAATATAATTAGAGGCAAATAGAATGGATTTGTCGAAAAGCCAAAAATGAATTTGATATTATGGTGATTTTGGTGGTTATGGTAAATTTTGGTAATTTGGTATTATTATACACTACTTTATTACAAATAAAATAACGATATAAAATATTTTTTAAATATTTAACATACAAAGTGTATTTACGTACAGCGTAAAAGAGGTATATACATACAAAAGTTGAGACACGATCAGTTTTGAAATTTTTGTTACCAAATCTTTGAGAGCCCAAATCAATAATGAAAATCAAGGTTTGAGAACATCATATATTACTTCGACCTCGTCAAGCAGCTCTTTTCTGATACTTGAGTGCCAGGCTATTTAACGGCGGTCTAGCCTTCAGGACACCGAGATCAACAGCGTGCCCGGTGAGAGGACAGCTCTGGCATCGTTTACGTCTGTAATTGGTATTGCAGCCGGCACTCCTCTCTTGCCGCACCACGTATCTGGGAAAGTAATGGACGCGCTTCCTCTGCGTCGTCGCGCACGGCGGCATCGTCACCACCAGATCCTGCCTGTGAATTCTGCTCACCGGCTCCGGAAACAATCGCTCGTTCAGCAGATATTGCTGCAACGATCCCGACGATCCGGACGATGTCAAGGTGTGGCTCGAGCCGTGCGTCTCGAAATAATTTTGCTCTCGGAACTTCTTCAGGTCCTCCACTTCCTGATCCACGGAATCCTCGGGGCCATCGACGTGCCGCGAGCATTGTTCCCTTCGCTCGCAATACCTCGGTAAATCGCGTCTCTCCGCACGCTTATCACCGCCGAGCTTCGCGGTCTTCCTCTCGAGCTCGCTTCTATAGCAACAAGGACAATCTTGGTTGCGCAACCGCGTCGTTCTTCGCGTTGGCGATTTCGACGCGGATCTTTCGCTGGACTCCGATATCGGCCTCCTGGATCTGATAGTCTTTCGTAATGTTGACTTTGACAACTTTCGCGGAGACACTTGAGCTCTTTTGCTCGAAGCGCAGACGACGTCGTCGGACCGGCTTTGTTCGCTCGCTCCTAGTGAATTCGTGGACGCCTTCGGAGATCTTCGCCTCTCGTCAATGCACTTGCATTTATCCGCTTGCAATACCGTTCTCCCATCGGCAATGGTATCCTGCATCCTCGCGCTTGTCATAATTTGGTGATAATCGGACGATCGCGGACACGTTCGCGGACAGCTTCCCCGATCCGCGGTCCGTAACTCACAGAGCTTGCTCTGCACATTCCGAAGGAATTGAGATCTGGGCGCGTAGTCGATTTTCCAAACTCTTCTGAGCGTCTCGCAGCTGATCGGCGCGGCTGGCGCCGTTTTGTCGTCAACCTTTTCGACGGGTCTGAGCTCGAGCTCGCTTCGACAATGACGGCAGGGCGACGCGGGTTTGCGACGCAACGATCTTGCGTGCGTCTTGCTCGCCTCGGAATGACAATAGCAACCCTTTACAGGTTTCCTAGGCGCGACTTTCGAGCATTGCTCTTGAGGTTTCTTAGACGTTAACGTGAGTTTTTCAGATGCAAACATATCTGGAACTTTGATGCAGTTGCACGTTTTTCGACCGACATGAAAGTACTCTGGATACAAAACAGCTGTCGAATCGTTGTGTAATGTTTATAAATCAGTGTTCCTTCCCGTGTAATTGTCTTGATCTACTTGCAGTAATGTATCAAAAATCTGTAAAAAGAAGTAATAAAAATTAAGTTGTTTGAAGAACAGTGATATATTCCTACTCATACGCAAAATATATACTTACAGCATTTGTGAATGCAAATTCACTTGTATCCGTTCTAAAATTTTCACCAATGCATATTAGCAACATTCGATTTTTCTTAATTTTTCTATGTTATTCAGCGTTTTTGCAATATGTTTAGAGTTTACGATTTAGAGCTTAATATTATAATTAACATTATATTATAAAATTGGATCGTTAAATTGTGCAGGATACCATCATATTACAATAATCCAAATAATTCAAATGTAAATGAAATACAAACAACGAATATAATTGCAATGATCAAGGCTATACTGTGAATTTACAACAAAATTGTCAAGGTAACGGAATTAAAATTAATTCGTAAAATGTTGAATGGAACAGTATTATAAAATATTGAAATGTAGAAAATTTTGCATTGTTTTTTCTGTTGATATAAAATATATATATGATTGTTTATACAAAAGAAGGGCTTTCTTAACCTATCTCTTTTTGACTTTATTTAACATTCATTCAATTTTGATCGCAATTTTTAGAAAAAACTCATTAAACGGAAACTCATCGTGAAATTATCGTGCTGTCTCTATCAACTTTCGCTCTCAACAACGTACTTCGCATGTGCTTCGCGAAAACTTCGACACACTCACATGACTCACATCACCGATCGCCATCGACGTGAAGTCCGATCAGAGTCTACTGTAAACAAAAAGGGACGCTCCAGGCTAGCCAACTTTCGTAGGATACATTCTTCACGTGCTCGGGCATTCGGCTTTCGGGAATCGATTATCGTGCGTCAGAAAAAACAATTGTCTTTCACGCGAGATTGCGAATACAAAATTGCATTATTAAAATTCGTTCGGGCGACGACAATTTAGCACGCGCTGCCCGCGATACGGTGAAATTTTCACTCGCTCGTCCCCCGACACGCACACCCGCGCGCGTCCATCCGCGGCAACTTCACGGCGCTTCGCGCGGACACGACGGCGACCGAACGAAGCGCGCGCGCGCGTCGCCAACTCGCCATTGTTGATCATATGGGAGGACGCCGTCCGCGGACGTGTTTCGTCGCGGTCCTTAAAACGTAGCTAAAATTCACCTAGGTAAGGCACCGCGTGGATGTATCGTGCGACAATACGCCGTAGGTGATACGCCCGACTCGTCGCGTAGCCCCGCTGCGTGATATGCGGCCGTTCTGATCCGATCCGACGTCGCTCCACGCGGGACTAGGTTAGCCGTTTGTAGGTTAGGAACGCCACCGCGAGCGTATCCTGCACGCACAGGTCACTCGCGGCGTTATCATGGATCTACCCGGGAACGGAGCGTTCCGCGACCTCGTCAAGAGCCCGCGCACGTTACCGCAGTTCTCGGAGCTGCGCTCGATGCCGTTCGACGCTGCCATCGCCGCCATCGCCGCGGCCGACGGCCGTAACGTGCAGTCGCAGGGGATGCAAACCGCTGCTGTGCAAACGGTCACGTGCCCGCAAGACACGTCGGTGAGTTTTCCTCTCGTTTCCTCGCGTCGCGTGCTCTCTCTTTCCTCAGTCAATTTCGTCTATTCTCGTTTGCGATTTGATATTAACAATTTTTTTATGTTAATTTTCTTTCTCAGACTAGTACACTCACCAAGTACTTTGCGCCTATACCCGGCTGGCAGGACACCCTCATTCAGTTGTGCGAGAAGCAAGTCATTAACCAGATAATCAATGTTCCGAATTACAGTCAAAATAACGGGACACTCGGCGCGCAACCGAGTAATTTTAGTTTTATCAACACTTTATACTTACCTACCACATCGCAGGTGGATACTGTAAAGCAAGAGCCAGACATTCAGTCCAAGGAGGAGAAGAATCTAGAAAAGGTAAGATATTCTTTAAACGTTGCTAAACTTTGTTTAATATTTTTACATTTCTTCATAGATACATTCACTCGTTTCCTGTTGTAGGATTCTGATATTCTGATAAAGCACCACGCAGTGGCGGCGATGGCGGAGTATTTTCAGAAATTGCCTGAGGTCTCTCTGCGGGAAGCGTTCGAACTGTGCGCGGAACAAGTGAAGAAGGAGAAGGCGCGGGAGGAGAAAGTGGAGCCGGTGCAGAATAATATTCTAAATATACCGAACGTCAGGAATATTTATCAACAAAATGGCAATAATTTCGCAAACACGGATCAGGTAACGGTGACCGTCAATCCGACCGATCTGAATCTGCAAAGTGAGCAAGACATTGAAAACAATTTGCGAAGTGTCCTGAAAGTCGAGCAGCAAGTACAAACCGATTTGCCGAAGATCGAGAAGAAGTCGAAATTTCGCGCGAAAATGGGCGAGATTAAAGTCAGCATTAACTACGACGGAACGACGCTTTACTGTTGCCCGGAGTGTAATTTAGCGCTTCCAGACAAGGCGGATATCGAACAACATATACAGGCTCACCTTCAAGTACATATATATATTTATATATATATATTTGTTTGCTTTTGGAGACTAGATTGTTAAGAGGATATTATGTACTAAGTTTAAAGTTTCAATACGTTTCAGGAGCGAAAGTACCAATGCAAAGAATGTGGTGCCATGTTGAAGAGAAAGGAGCATCTCGATCAACACATGCGAGGCCATTCGAACGAGCGACCCTTTAAATGCGACATCTGCCAAAAGGCGTTCAAGAGAAATGAACATTTGACGAGACATACCGTCATCCATTCCGGCAACAAGGACTTTCCGTGCAGCATGTGTCAGAAAGCGTTTTCGCGGAAGGATCACTTGAACAAGCACTTCCAGACGCATTTTGGCATCCGCAAGAACAAAAAGGAAGATCCTTACAATTATGTCGATCAAAAAGACGTGAGAATATTCGATAACGCAAGTGCCGATATTGCGGTGGCGCCTAAGCAGGAGGTAAGCTATATTCTAAAGGATGGTGGTTTACTGAAGCAGGAGACTCTTCTACAGCACATTCAGAATTTCCAAAAGAATTCGAGTCTGTTCCCGTTCACCATTAAGGAACATGTGATGAAAGACGCAAATATGTCTGAACAGGCACAGGGCAGTAATATGAATGAGAACTCAAGGTATTTAACATCGTCTTCTTAGTGTAGATAAAATCCGCGTATGTTCCAAAGCAATATATGGCGGGATGACATCCGTCGTAGGTAATTTCAATTTTTGAATCTGTATTTTGTTATTGGAACGATTACGGCTCTTTCAAATTTATAGTTTAATTTTAATACGTCGATGCATTTTAACATCTGATTAAAAGTACACATAGTGAAAAATGCGTATCGCAAATTAAAGAGATTATACAGCCTATCTCCTCTATTCTAAAGTCATCGGGACCGAGCACATTTTCTCTATTCTACACATTTCTCCTCAGTCCTCATTTTTATACTGGTTGGCACACGTATGCAGAATAAAGATATTGCACTGTTGATTTATTTTTCGCTTGATTTATGACGTAATATGTGAATTGATCATGTAATAAATACGAGAAATGCGAGAAAACAATACAAGAGGAGAAATTCACGTTTAGAGGAAGCAGCTAACTTAGAGTAGGGGAAAACTTAGAATAGAGGAGTTCTGTATATCATACATACACGTAAATCTTGCATCTTTAATGCAAGACGTTGAAATAATTAAACGCTAAGCTAGCATAATTATGAGATAAGCTGTGATTACCTGAATTATCATCTTTGTCTTTCCACTGTATCATTCTTCCTCGTTGTCTTGTCCATTTCTTCGGGTCATTATTATTTTTCAAAAATTGAATTTTACAGCTTCAAGAAAATATCATTGGTTAAATGTGCACAGTGATGAAATTTCTATAACACTTCTATTTTTAATAGAAAAAAAAAACTAAGTTGCTTTGTGAATAAACTTAAACGAAGGTGAGACAATTATGAAGGAATAGTAAAAAACAAGAAAAGAAACCAAGAAAAGAAATGTTAAGAACAAAAGAAACTTTTATTTATAAATAGAATATAATAATTAAACGTATAAGATAATAACGAAATTTGCATAGGAACAATCCATTAAAAGTATTACAAAAAATATAACAGTTGTAATATTAGTAATTAGTATTTCCATTATGCCTAATTATTTCTTATATTCTATTTTTCATACTACAAACTAAGCTTTGCAGTGTTGTAAAATCGATTTTATTCCAACTCTTGTTTTACAACGTTTTCCAACTCTTTTTAATGTTAATGTACTATTTATTAATTTTGTATACTGTTCTTGATAAAATTCTTTATAAATTCTGTATCGGATTTAAATCTGATGAACGAATCGGTCATTTTATAAAAAAGCAAATTTTTCTGCTGGAACCATTCCTATGACGACTTCTAAATTTCTATACGTTTAATTATAAGCTTTAATTAATTATCCTGTTTATAAAAAAATTAAAACGGTTTTTTTGTTCTGGATTCTTGTATTAGTTTCTTGTATTTTACTATTCTTTTTTTAATTTTCTAACCTTCCTTTAAGTTTGCTCACGAAGCACTTAGTTTTCTTTTATTAAAAATAGAAGTGTTCTTATAGAAATTTCATCTACTGTATTTAAAAATATGAGAAGTATTTCTTTGATTAAAGTTTTAAGTTACAATTTCTTTTCTCATTAATAATCACAACACTTACGTGAGCACATGCACATTGCAGTTCTTAAATAAATTAAATTTTGATCATTAAGTTGGATAATCGCTAATGTGTTAACTATAACTCTAATTGCCTTAACTCTTGGAATTCTATAGATATAGGATGTATTTTAAAATTTATTCCAAGATTTTTCTTGCGTCCTATATAAAATGAGCATTTTAAAATATAAATAAAGAAAGTCGTTGAGAGGAATTAATAAGGGAAGGCCAATTTATGTAATTGCATGCTTGTCTGCCTTACTTAAGTTAGTGTTCTATAGAAAACATTAGTTATTCTCGATCATTCTAGTCCATTGTCATTTATTTTTAATTTTAATAGCTACTTGCATTAAGTAAAGACTCATTTTGGACATTTGGACTGTTTTGCGATAACTAAAACGCATTTACACTAAATCTGCGTAAATAATTAAGTATAAGAATATTGAGAGGTAATACCGAAATTCCGAATCATCAGAAGCCGATAAGATAAAGTTGTCTCCTGAAAAAGAAATGTGCTATCGAATAATTGTTCCGTGGTCCAGACACTAGAAAATTTCTCGCTCTTTGTTATATGTAATTTTACTTTTGTTGCATATATTTTTATTTAACTTGAATTTAAAAACAAACAAGTCGATTAATAATTATGTAGAGATGATAATGGCACAATGCTTACAAACTTAGTCAAATTCTGATATTAGCTACTTGATATATTAACTGATATATTAGTCAGAAAATTTGATGGGCATTGAGGTATTATCAATAAACGGAAATAATAATGATATACTGCCAGAAATTTTGTTGAAAAGTTATAGAATACACAGACACACACAATAATTATCAGATAGAACACGTATACAGTTTTATATGGCAAAGTATTCATTACGATAAATGTCGAGGTTCACTTTTTCAGAACAGCAATAGTTTAACCGAGAAATCAATATTTCATCTTAATATAATTAATAGATATCTCGATTTATAGATGTATTGATATAATACAGAAATGTGTTTCCAATACAAAATGAAATGAATAGATATTACAATTTTACAACTCAAAATTAATATTTTTATACGTGAAAAATGTACTAGATTGCGTTAAACGACATTTCTTTGAATAGCTTTTATTTTATTTGTTAGTCATATAATTAATAATTATCGCATAATTATTAATTTGAATCATTGTTTATCTTTTTTTAAAAATAAATTACTTCTTTCTATTCTGTCATTTCATATTTTTTGATTGATCATGATTTTTACGATTGATTTTTATAATCTCAAAAAGATGCCACTGGTTGATTCCTAAAAATATAACAAACGTCTTTTACAATATTTTGTATTAAACTAATGATTTCTTTTGTAGAATCCGTTGTTATTTATATGAATAATAATAATAATTTTTTTTTTGTTGAGAAACGCTATTCTTACGTCACATTTTATAACTCACTAATATTTACTTTGATAAAATTTAGAAAGATATAATATTGCAATTACTTAAAAAAATTATTTAGTGACGAAATTTAAATTGAAAATATTAAGTTTTATGTACCTAATAAGATCAGCTTTTTGTATTTGACATTTTATTTTTAGGAGATCTGCCCGTTGGACGCTTCAGTTTTAGTTTGTATACTAGAGCGAGAGATCATTGAAAAACTTCCATGTATCGTCACGATGATTATGATTATAGTTCTCTAATATTCTCTTATGTATGTGCGACATATGTGCGATTATGTATGTATGCGTTAGGTATTAATTAGAAGACGGTACTAAAACACACACATACCGGTATCACGTAATACAACCAAAGACTTCATACACGCACGCGTATGTGCAAGAAATAGCAGTATTCTAGGTCATTCGCGCTTTCGGGATCTTTATTTTTTTTTTAATTTTTTATGTAAGTCACCCTGTATAATTTAATGTTTGAGCGAAGAATCTTTGCATAAAGAGAGATCGATGAGACATCTTTTTTGAGATGGTGGGACATCTTCTTTTATAGTGATTTCTCTCGATTTTTCTCATTGAGATTAGAGATAAGGTAATAGGACTTTTTAAACAGTGAATGTGCATTTATAGGACTCGTGTTTAAGCACACTGTTTTGGAGCAGTGGATTGTGAAGTTACAAGACTTTATGCATTTATCCCGCAAGAGAATTGTTATTGTATAGTGATAACAGAAAAAAAGATAGCTAAAAAAAATAACATGTATTTTTCAGATTGAAAAAAATATTTTTGAATAAAACTGTGTAATGTAAAAGATTGCAGGCTTTGTTTCTTTTATAACTTCTCGCCGAGTGCATCGAGTGTGTGCAGTCTGCGGTTGAGCGGCGCGGAAAATAGCGTTATGTAGTCTTACGCAATGTCGTGACAACTGAAACGACCGTTGGTGACACTAAACGCGGAAATATTAATACGTTGAACTTTGCATCATCTGCAGAACGAACTCTTTGCACTCGGTGTTCCAATAAGGACAGTGTAATATTTCACATTCGTATAATTCGATATGAGATATTCATTGTGTTATTCGTATAATTCGGGAATTAGCAAAGCGTTAAGAGCACCATTATTTAATTTCGTATAACGTAAATTTTATTTGTTTTATATATTTTGACAGCGTAATATACGAGCGAAATATGACAGCAGTACAAAGGTATAAAATTTATTCGATATCTGTGTGCTGTCTTCACTCCCTTTGTTCTTCTCTCTTCCACACACTATTATTATATTTAATACTAAACGTACTAAATTGATATTAATTTGATGTTTATTCGTACTCTTGGCGTGTTTTTAGCAGCAAATGTAACGTTTCTTTTATTTGTACGCAATTTTTATATAGAATAAATTACAATCGCAGAAATCCATGTTACGTTTGAACTTATTTAACGTTGATTTATAAATAGGTAGGCATAACATAGTTTCTAATCTAATGTGTTTTGTTTTCTCTCTTGTTTTGTCATTAGCGTGTCGGCTTCTCGTTGCCACAAGCAGCGCTCGATAATTTACTGTAAATGCTGTAAGTAAGGCCGAAGAGGGAGCCAAGCCACTCGAGCAGGTGATGACCCACAGTCGTTCCTGGCGACACGATTTCCACCTCATTTTTCTTATCCAGCTCCTCGTCTTGCAGCTCCAGTTGCTCCAAAGGCTGAATGTCATTGAACCAATCGTCGTCGGGCAGTATCGTCGTTTTATTTTTCCCATTTGCTTTAATCGTTGCTTTTATTTCAGACGAATCCTTCTTGAGATTGATCCAATTCGTCTTGCTGTCGCGATTCTGTGGTGTCGACAGTAATTTTATCTGATCCAGAAAGGAATTGCTGGGATACTTGAGATTCGTATAATTATCTGCTTTTTTCATGTCAGCCCAGATTAGTCTCAGAGTTTGCAAATTGGGATCCGATGCGTTCTTCGCCAGGATGTGTTCTATGTTACTGGTATTGTCGGATCGATGGAAAACAAAATTGTACGTTGCGCGTAGTTTTTCCAAAAATTTATCCACCGATTCCGTGGTGTGGTTGAATTGTTTGTGATATGGCGCCAGATATCCCTCCACTGGAAACAGCTTCGTTATTTGTGGCTTCGGTTGCACTCTCGTGGCAAAGAGCTGCGAGACATTGGAAGTTACGGGAGTTTACGATTTCATATATTTCTTCGCTCGAGCATTTTTTAAAATATACTTAAAGATTATAACAAAAATTGCGATTGTAACAAAAATCTCCCTATTTTTATTCTAGCCCCGAAGTAAGCTTATTTATGAAAGGGAGCATTAGGTTTCTTGCAAAAAATTATCATAGTCAGAAATACCGAAATAGTCGAGTGAATCTTCTTCATAATATGAATTTTATCGGACGTGATGTCGTAATATACCGCGGACAGGTGATACAACACATAATCGTGCGTTGCAGTACGTACATTCACTCGCTGAAAATCTACGTCGCGCGGTAGTTTCATTTTCACGAAGATTATAAGTTGCGTTGGCAGTCGCGGTTGCGACTGGCGACTTTTACGCTCTGATTACGAATAAATAGTATTTACTAGCAAAGAACCTGTCACTGCAAGACGGAAATAATTATGTTTAAATCTTCTTGACGTTCTTTCTGACGCGCGATTAGGAAGCTTGTATGATATAAAATATTTTGTCAAAAGAAAGTCGCCAAGAGCTTCCTCTTAGCTTCCACGCGAAGCATAAATTCTACATCAGATGTGGTTTAGTGCGATCAGAAAAAGTTTAATATTTTATTAAAAATTAATCGTAAAAAGATTCTTTGAAAAACTTTAGTTAATGTAAATTTTAACGAATGTGGCGATAATAGAAAATCATATAAATTTACAATTTTATAAAAACAGCGATTTATAAGTAAAATCGGTTAAAAGTAAAATAATATACAATTAAACAGTTTATATTTAGAACAAATTATAAAAAATTGTAGTAAAACTAATACGATATTAACAAGGGTAATAAATTGGACAACTATTTCATGAATCTCAAATTTATATTGAACAACCTAGTAGCAGGAAGAATTTAATATTTTATTCATACAAAATATTTATTAAAAAATTTATTTATTAAAAGAAAATTTGATATTTTATTTAAAATTAATTAAAGAGATCTCTACAAGCGTTTGCAAAAAAAATGTTAAAAATTACAAAAAGAATTTTATGATTTCGACGAATGTACGCTAAATTGGAATTAATCAATTCCGGAGTTAAGGTACTTACGCAAAAAAGACAATATCCCAAGAGCTTCATATTTCACCGAAGATATCTTTCGATATAACGATTTATGATTTCCTTGGACGATCCGGACGATCGACTGAAGGCCCCTTCGATTTCAAAACCTTTTTATACTTGCGATGCAAGAGCGTAAAACGTGCATCACGATTGATTGGCTTTCGTGGCTTGTGCCCATTGTCTTTCGCCTGCGCCTCTGCGAAGTCGTCGGTATAGAGTTGCCCAACGCCCAACGGAATTGATAGTCGTCGCATGCATGGCTGCTTCGCGGCCAAATCGGCTCGACTCGTCCGAACGATTTACGATATTTGGTCCCCGATTTTTATGGCAGGTCAAGGTATTGCCACAAGCACGTCATCGCTTCGATCATACTGAGGTTCGTGTAGTGCGAAAATTGACGGATTGCGTTTCACGTTAATCCGTTTACAACGTAGAGCTGCAAATGATGAAATGACCATATCCGATAGCTTTTTTTTTTTAGCGGATAAAATTACACGTGTCACGCCTTTCACGAAACATCTAGCGCGGCATACATGCCCAGGGAAGGAAATGAAACTTGGAGAAACAGTATTGTTTTTGCCTCTGACAGTATCAGAATGCGTGATTTATTTAAGAAAACGGCACATTTGTGGATAATAGAATGTACACGAGAGTAAAATATATGTATATATATATATTCATGTAGTATAAATTTACAATAAGAACCCTGACGGGCAAGTTTTTACGCTTATCTATAGATCATTGGCGGTCATGATACAATTACGTTCGAATATGGTTTAAATTCACATTGTAACAATTCTTTGTACAAGATCGCGGGCTAGTTATATCTTTCTTGATAAAAAAGCTGATCTTGTGGATTTTTTTTATCCTTATGCTTGAACACTCAGATATAAGTACGATATGAAGGAAGAAAAAGTTACGACGTGTCTTTCTACAAAGTCTCTTCCCAATTTCTACGGAATTGGCTTACTCAACAGCTTGCGGACAATAGAATCTTTTGTTTGTGGTTTGGCGAGCATTAAAATGTAAAATATGAATCGATCGCGCGTGAGGCACGATTGAGGAATGCGTTTGCGTTTGAGTTCGCTTGAGCATTACGTATCGATTCGATAATACGAAGAATGAGGGAGATTATCGAAGATGATGTTTCAATTAACGCGGGAAAGGAGGAGGGGGTGGAAATAATAGCAGGGTGTGCTAAAGTGGACCGTTAAAATTTTTACGAGAATCTACGTTGGCTTAATGAAAGGGGCTGATGCGCGAGGGGGAGCAGTGTAGCACTCGGGGATAAATCATGAAAGATTTAATAGTTGAGTCGAGTTTTACGGGGCAAATGACGTTAATGGAAAGATAAAAAGGATTTATTACACAGACGAGCAATTATAGTATTTAATTACTGCAAATGTGCATAAGAATTTCGACCTTTTCACGATAAATTTTTCGATCGCAAGTAATTATAGAGGTGAAAACTCGGTGGAAAGTTATCGTACAGATATAGCAAATAGTGAGACAGTACTATCTTTTTAAGTGTGCAGAACTGCTTTTTGTTCGCATATTCTTGTTCATTAATTCAAAAATTTTATGCGCGGCGTCGTGCGATCCTTGTTAAAATATTAATGTTAACTGTTTGTACATTTCGTAAATGTATATGTACAAATTGATTATCAATTTAATCAGGGAAAGACAGATGTTTTAATGGATTGCATTTAAATTATTACAATTATATGAAATTGTGAATCGTAAGCACATTATTTAGCAAGTCAAATTTTGTAAAATTTCGGATTTAACATTAGTGAGAGGAGAGAAAGAGAGAGAGAGAGAGAGGGAAGGAGGGAGGGAGAAGGAGAGAGAATCAAAGCGTGTAAAACATCTAAGAAAGTATTAAGAAGATGAAAAATCGCAGCTTCTTAAGTTCCTACAGACATAATATCTAGAGTGGATTTTCGAAAATTGACAACAGAAGGATTTCGCGATTACAGGGCGAGAATAGACGTATCGAAATAATATATACATATATCGCGTATTATATTGATTGTCGAGTAAAAACAAACTCTCTAATCAGCTATATTAATGCCCCGATTGAGCATCACAAGAACTTTTGGTCGCGATGTCGAGTGCGGAGATTCGTCACATCTAAATCGATTTGATAGTAAATCTATGTTTAAGGTGTACTTAGTCTGCATAAAGGTGTGTTATACGCTCTATATTTAATCCGTTTACAGCGAGATTTAGAAACAGAGTGCGCGTCTAATACCGGGTACAAAATATCTTGTGCAATCTGTGATAAAGAGTATCGCAATGCGTAAAATGCACATACGAATGTATGTATATATATTATATATGTATATATATCTATAACCGTTCAAATAACGATAACTGTATACCCGTAACAACTCGGAAAATGTCTACTAGCAACTCGCATCAAAATGCATTTAATTAATCTTTCAGACGTGTATAAAGTCAACAAAATTAAATTTTGTTCAAGTTTGATGTATGCAAAAAGAGTAGTTGTAAAATAAAATATTACCGAGATCAATGTAGTATGGAATTGTCAGATATAATTAATATTGCATATAATATTAGACATGACGTAATTTAAGCGCATTTGTGTTGTCAGTAGACAGTTTATCCGTTATTCCTGGAAGGATTCCCAGATCCGTATTAGCATCCTCTCCTTTAATTCTAAACGCAACTGCCTACGCATTGAATTAAGACAGGCGTATTTAGGATTAATCGAGCGACGAAGCAACGCAGATCTCAATTTACGAGGCGCCGAATATATCTAGTAAATGTAAACATATCAGGAAGTGTATGTATATTGTTTTACATTATGGCGATTAATTCGCCACTTTGATAAGGCTCGTTATTCCTGGCCTGTGCAATAATATATGGAGGATGCGTTGCGTCGCATAGACTTGGAACGGCCACGGCCAAATAAAAGTCGTGAAAACGCGCGTGCTCGATAATATGCGACAATAATTATTATCCCTTATCGACTAACAAGCCCGTCGCAGTCTCCGTATGGCAATTGTGTGCACTGAAATAGAGCGGGCGAGGCTCGGGACACGATACGTCTTGAACCGTCCGCTGCCGTGTGTGAGCTCTGAAAGCTATCTCTTAAATTCGTACGTTTGTATTGTGGTCCCCCGTGTCTCAATAAGGTCCGACAAAATCACGAGTCTCTCTTTGGTTGCCTTTTCTTGGTCGTGCGCCGTTAAAGTGAACCATAAACTAGCTTTGAATACGACAGAATTCCAATCAAATCATTTATAGTTACTGATTATTTGTAATTTAACGCCAATTAAGAATCCATAAAGAAAATAAAAGACAATAAAATAAAAAGACATTTTGTCTTTAATCAAAGATGTTCACATAAAAATCTATTTGAACAATCAAGACACGATTATTAGATGATTAAAACAAAATTTATATATATTTAAATTTGGAACTCAAGTAATTTGTAATTTTGTTATTCTAATAACTAGAATTCAAAATTAAATTTGTGTAAATATTTTAACTTTAGTATTAAATAAACGGGACCTACATTGTTCATCATTTATATATTATACATAATTTATGTATATGTGTTATATAAATTTATATAAATATAATAATGCAAAATTATATAGTTTGCAATCGTAAAAATATATAAAACAATAATCATAAATGATATACATTACATAATAAATTACATAATAAGTTAAATATTAAACAAGAGCTCATCCGTATATTTAACAGCACGAATTGAAGAAGGGCGTCGTTGTACGGCGGGTTTTTATTTACGAGCCTACTTTTTAAAAAATATGAATATCATACAAAATATGAATACAATATACGTACACCTTTACGTTTATATGTAATATCTATGCAACCTACGCGCCTTGGAAATAAGTGGATTGCAAAAGACACTTATAACAATGATAAGATCTCAGGCACACAAACGATTGCTCGTTACGTGATTATTTTGCAGCAGAAAATATGTCGATTTTCGATAGAATATTTTGTTGCATGAAGATAGATATACACATGAGAGATTATTTTGTCACGATGGTTTTAAAAACGCAACATATTCCATTTTCGCGAGAGCGCGGTATATAAAACATGCGTGTTTATACACGATATGCATAGAGTAGTGAAAGAATATCGATTTGAAAGGAATTATTATCGTACTGTGTAAAATAATCGCCGAATCAAATACATAATAGATTGTATCATAATCTTGTGTAAGAGGAAGAAGGAAAACAGAATCTTGTATGAGATTTAAAAATATACGAAATAATCACAAAATAAATATATAATATTTTACATATTATATATATTATTCATATATATTAAATAAATATATAATCTTTTATATATTATATATATTATTCATATATATAACATTATATATCTCATTAATCAATATTATACGATATAATATGATTATTTTTATAGTTTTTTTATCATTTTAAAAATATTTTAGAGGAGAGATGTGAGAGATAGATGGGATGGATACCATCAGAGATGATATTATAGTTCGTATAGAATTTGTGTTGAATTCTAGGGGTAATCGTTAAAATTCATTGCAATCTATTTAGACATTATAGGATTGTACTGGTCATCAGTATTCACTGTGCTTTTATAAAAGCTAAATTTCAGTTTTGCAGGTAGTAAAAATGTTTACAGGTGTATATTCTTTTACGTAATTTTGATAAGTATGTTAAATATTTATTTTTTAAACTTTTGTCTAGCTTAAATGCTTTGAATGTGACTTTTAAATAATGTAATTGAATTTAATGTGTGACATAATACGTGCATGAATCTGTGTATGACATAAAAGTTATGTACGACAAAGGATCAGAGACCACTTGCGAGCGTCGCGAGCGTCGCAACTCCCAAAAAGTTTCGTCATTCCTCGCACGCAATAAAGTTATGTTGGTGCAACAAAAAAATTATTTTAAAAAAATTATTTTTAAGCCAAAGAAATTATTTAAAAAAATTACTTTTTGCAAGTAAAAATATATTTTATAAAATGTTTATAAAACCTGTTTGTTTCATGGCACTTATTAGTATGTAAGATCTATAAAGGATCATTAATTTGTAATTTTTTATAAACGGAAAGTGTCTTTTATTACATTAATTGAGTATATGACCCTCCTATTTTACAAGCGCATTTTTTTTTCCCGTTTCAGTGAATTGTAAATTACTTTCGTTCTACATATTCGATACATTTCTGGAACTTATAAGATCTACTTAGGATTGGAACTCTATGGCTAACAAACTTATATGTCCGTAAGAATTATGTCGAAGTGTTAATTTCTACTGAATTATTTTAAGATAACAAAATGATATTCCACCATCTGTTTCTCTCCTCTATGTATTTAATTATTTTACGTATATAAAAAATATTTAAATTCCAGTAAGTTTTTAAGTTAACTATTTAAATTAACTATTTTACTTTAGAGAGATATTCTTTCGCTGCTCGTGTGTGTATGTAGTAAGTTAACTGCTGAGCGAGAAGGCCGCTCGTATGCAAGAGATCTTATGGATATCCTTGGGACGATCTTAATCTATTATCTATATCAATCCAGTTTAGAAGAAAGCCATATGATTCTTTAACCGGAAAAATATTATAAAAATGTTCTTCTTTTTCCTTTTTTATCATGTATTTATAAAATGTTACCCTTACGAATTTTCTGGTTGTAAACATACGTAGTCCGTTTCTATATGTTGTTTGAATCGTTATTAAATATTCTTTTTATAGTAAGCATGAATATTCTATCTTTCCATGTTATTTTATTTAAATTCTGAATAGAAATTTGATAAGCCAAACGAATATTTGTGAGATGTATGTTCACCTTGAATTTTATCAACATCGAGCATGGCAACTAGAAGAGCAAAAACGAGTTTCATGGAAAAAAAGGGAAAAAAGTTTTTCAATTCGTATGTTACTCCCGCTAGACTTTTGATATGACATTTTTATATTATGACGTACAAAAAAAAAACAGATCGTTTTTTCGATGGTTCTCTCTAACACTGGATTTGCGAAGTATATAAATTTTACTTTAAATTTTGAAGTTATTTACAAACGTGCGCGTCGGGCACGCATTTCTTACAATGTTAATAGAATAAAAACCTCCGGCGAGACATGTCTTAACTTCGGATCATTCTCCGCAAATATCTACTTTCGTTATCTTTTACATACGCGACTATAACGTTTATAAGTATTCGATCGCTTCATCAATCTTAATAAAATGGCGTAGCGATACGCGTGTTATTCTGTCGTTTTTCTCCATTATTGATACAAATTACTTTTAGAAATTACCTAATAAAAAGCAGAACGAAATAACATTTGGTCAATTATTTTATATTAAATGCTACCATGTTGTAGTCGTCAAATTTACCAAATTCTTCATTTCAACAGAAAATATTGGCAGTCAATAGTAAAGTAAATATAATAATTCTTCCATATTCTTTTAAGAAACGTCCTTCTTATTCTATTACGATTAAACAATAATAATAGCCAAAACTACAATCACTGAATATCATCGCATTACTCAGGTGGAACACAAAAGTTATATTAATATTATCATGAAGTCATATATGTATGATAAGGACGTGACGTTATTTTGACTTTATAATGACTTTATGTAATAATATCATTATATCTTCATTTGTCACTTATAAGTCTCAAATAATGTAAGAATTGTCATTACATTATGACATCATTTGCTTCTATGTTCTGCCTGGGCATAAATATAATGCGGAATGTTCAAACGCGACATTTACAAACGTTACATTTTTACTCATAAAAAATATTTCCTAGCAGAAACATTTTCAACAAAGTTCTCGATCCGCTTTATTTTTTCGTCAGCCTCGCCGGTTAGGATTTTTTTTTCGCGTATTCATAAATAACTCACGGAGCTCTTACCTGCAAAAACTGAAGGCAACGGCCCCGTGGTTCTGACGATACAAGCGACGAGAGTAAAATCGATAACGACGGTTCTCTGGAAGATTAAATTTTCGTTGGTTCGTTCGACGATTTCGCCTCTTAATGTCGCGGTCGCTCGCCGGATCGCGATCGATGATCAGTCCTGATTTATCTTCCGCAGGATATCCGATCAGATTGTTTTTCGATGGGGGATGTTTCGTGCTACTTCTATCGACAGCGACACTATCTCCTCTCAGTTTCCGTCACAGGCGATAAGGGATTTTCCAACGATAACTGTCTGCCAATATGCAAATGAAGGAGGAATTAATTAAAAAGGGAATTGATGAAAAATAAACTTGGGGATAATAATGCGGTATATGTATATAGTATTGCTTTTTAGTACCGATTGATTCATATCGCATCATGAGTAGCCACGCGTGATTTATTCTCTCGACGTACAAAGGTAAAAAATAAATTACACATTAATAAATTGCTCGCTTTTAATGTGAAGCATTGATACGTTTTGCAAATTCGGATGGAATATCTCGGATACGAGGAAAACATTTTATACATCTGTAGAAAAATCCTTCTAGATCGTTCGAAGAGAGAAACCTTTGTGTCGCGAATATTTGCATTCGCTTCGGCAAACGCTTGTTTCGGCAAACGAATGATTCAGCTAAATATAGAGCTCTATATTGTACACAACGGGTGCAAGGGAATTTAAAACGGTATTTGAAAAAAAATATGTACATAGAATGAGAGGAGTGCATTTTCCTCTTCCTGAACAGCGTAACATATTTACCTGCCGCTTGTATGCCAATCGTAGGAATCCGGCGCGGAATTGCTTCTCCCGGCCTCGTGAAAACGTTCCGCTTTCGCATCTCTCATCGTGTCGCTGCGCGGCGAGGGAGACACGCCGCCTTTTGGTCCTGTCGCCGACGATTCCGTGCCGGCGTCGTTGTCCGCTGTCCGTCCGAGCCGCTTAGGCAGAAATGGATTCTGGGGAGCAGAAATAGTTCGCGCGCTTATTTCCCAGTTTTTATGCCCCAGTAATCCCGTGGGACGAGATATCGAGTTTTCTCTCGCAAAGTTCAGCAAGCCTGTCCGCCATCGGCGATAAAAATGTAACTTTGTTTCAAGTGATCGCGGTCCTCCGTGCGCGAGTCTCGGATGTACATGAATGATAGAAGAAGGGAAAAGTGTCTTGACAGTTTGTGAAAAGTCGACGTCGTCGTCAATTTGAGTGTAAGAATATGGTTTCACGCTTGAGATCATCCTTTTAATTAATTGTGATTGTCCGTTTCTTTATTTGCCTTTTCTTTAATCAGCCTTTCCATTTGAATAATTTCTTTATTTGAACATTGAATTAACCTTTTTATTTCCATAACAAAACGTCGACGTGAATTCACATTGCTATTTTTTCCGTGGTTTTACTCGATTCTTGAGCTGTTAAAAATTTCAGAAAAAAATTAATGTTTAGACGTCTATGTTTATTTATAAAATAGCATTATAATAAAATATTTTTTTATTATTTTACATATCTTACAATTACAATCCGTTTCTTTATCTGCGTTTTCTTTCTTAAGAAAGGTTTGCGAAAAAAGGCTTGACTATTCTCACTGTCATGTTCTTCCGTAATTTCACTCGATTCTTGTACTGTTAGAAATTTTAGAAAAAAATTAGTGTTTGGACTTCTATATCATTTATAAAATATCATAATAAAATGTTATTATTTTATATATCTTGCAATATAAATTATATTCATATAGACGTACGTTTATCTTTGGATATAGTGTATACGAAACAGCTACTTTGGTTAACTTGGTGCTTTATGAGCATTATTTTTGCTCCGTCAGGATACATATTCAAGTTTATCGTTAGTGATTCGTGTGATTGAATTTCTGAATTATGTATGAAGTCGACTGGTACGTTTAATACGATCGGGCTGTCTAATCTATAGCTATCGGTATGTTCAACTTAGCTGTCCGTTGAACATCGGTCTGAGTTTCCTGATCCTAGGCATCGTAGAAAAAATTGACAAACATTTTCAGTGACACGTTTAATTCCATGACACAATTTGTACGAAGTAGGATATAAATGCGAAAACAATTCGAACTAAGAATACAACGTCGGCTTGGTTGTTGTATCTTAAAGAAGTTCACCTGTCGCGAGATCTTTAGCATCTCACGCGACGCTCAATAAAATATTTCCATTGGCGCTATAAAAGCATTATTAAAGCATCGTTGACGCCTAGATAAATTGCACAGTTTATCCAATGTAATACGACACGTTTAAACGCTCGCCCTTCGACATTTGTCGGTTGATCGCGCTTTCGGTAATTTCGATGTTATATTAGAGAGTTGTACGAGCGTAACAGTCGCGCGTAAATGTCACCGTCGGTTCTTCGCGTTTTGTAAGACCGAATGTACGCTACAACTGTACGACATTATTGACGTGCAACCGTTGAAAGTGTCGAAACCCGTCGTCGGTAATATTCACGCGGGCACGCGCCGTTATATGTCAAAGTCAAACACGTCAGAACGCACCGCTGCGACATTTCGCGAGAACGATCGTACGCGATCCAATTCTTCCGACACGTGTATTACCACTTCCGCTTCAGGACACACGCAAATCGTTTCGCGACGAAGTTGCGAGCAGTTGCTTTTTCATAGTATCATATTCGGCACTCCATAAACAGATTGCTTCCCGTATTCGAATGCTCGCGAAAGGATGTGTCTGCGATCATGCAGTTAATGAAAATTTCCACTACCGTGGAAGATGTCAGCAATGTATTAATATATATATGTAATTAATGTAATAATAATGTTACATTCGTATTCATCAAGGAAAAAGGAAGTATTTCGCATTTTTGAATGAAGAACAAATAAATTTATTCAGTATTCTGATTCATGATTGTTCGCGAAATTTAATCAAAAATATCGCGCGCCTGTGAAGAAAAAACGAAGAAGAAAAAATGCCGGATTTACGGACATTTTTGAATTCTACACTGAGAAAAAAAATTGAGTGTACAAACTAAATTTGTATAGTTATTTGATCCAACGGTTGATTCAACAATTCTTTAGTTGCACAAAGAAAGGTACAGTTCATTCGTGTCAACCATCAAAATTTTTAAATCAAGAATTAACTAAACCAACTCAATTAAATTATTTTGTTCAAAATACTAGTAGTATTTTTGTGTTTGCATGCTATTTAGTTATCTGGTAATATATTGTTCAAATTCCAAGTATCAAATTGACTAAACGATGCTGATGTGTGAAGATAATAAATAGTCTGTATTTTTAATCAAACGGTTGAGTTAAGTACAATAAATTTTTGTCGAAACAAGATAGTTTAAAAAAACTTATTTTTTTGTTTATAATAGTAACAAATTATTTTGTGTTATCATAGTAACGTTTAGTTGAACGTATATCGGACTAAATATTTTGGTAAGATGAGACGAATTATTTTTTAACAAATTTGTTTTCTTAGTGTACAATACATTTCCGATTTCTCTTGTCGCGCAATTTTCTAAGGTCGATTTCATAACGCCATCGTGTTAAATGTACGCTCTCGGCTCACCTGGAAGCTGTGCTGTTTCAGCATATTCTTGACGAGAAGCAGGGTGCCGAGTCTTATGACCTCCTCCTCGGTGACGGTGACCCGTAAGCGGCAGTTGTCGACCTCGGCCGGCAGTGGCTCGGTTGCGTTGTTGGTCAGCCACGGATGCTGCTTTACCTTCGGGAGTATGAGCCTGGTCTCCGGCGACTTATCCAGCATTCCCTCAATCAGATATCGCAATTCCGAGGACAGGCGATTGTCGGGGAACAGGAGCGGTTTCGAACGAACGATCTCTTGAATGGCTGTACTATCGGAAGCGCGCCAAGGAAGATCTCCGACCACGAGCGCGTATAGCGTTACTCCCATCGACCATATGTCGCAGGGCTGAAATTTGACATATTTTGGCCATCAGTCTTCAATTAGCTAAATTTAGTCGAATTGAATAATTGCTCGGTTTTTTGAAAGGCATTTGATATTTATTATTTAAAAGAAGCTTAAAGTATCTGTTAGATTATAAAGTATTCTGGTAACGACGTATTAGTGATTCAGTAACGACAAATAACGTTTTTCGTTTACTCCAGCAATAAATCGTGCGGAATCGATTTGACAGAGAAATCTGCCGGATTTATCAAACGACAAAATTAATCTCGTAACGGCATTCAATATACGAGTTTAGTTTGAAAGCGTATGCCAAAACGTGATCCTTTTGTGATATGTGATTTAATTCTCCTTATGTTTAAATAAGTGATTTTTTTATATCTATAATACAATAGCCAAATCGAAAATCGATAGGTCGTGAAAAGCGGAAAAAAAATGCGAAAATATCGCGAGGGCAATTCCACCAGGTCATTATAATAGCCGTTTACAACACTATACGCGGATTCGAATCTGTATAATGCGTGGGTCGATTTAACTCCCTCGATACGAAAAGCTCACATTGAGGTGAAGCATTGTATTGTTGTTTACCATCGCGATATTTCCTCGTTGTAATTTTGCGCTGAATAACACAGATTTTTTGGACGGTTTTTTTTTATATCCGGGAATAAAAAAATAAAGCTTTTTTTTTAAACGTAGCTATTAAACTATAGGAAAAATGATACGGAAGATTGTCGTTTCTTCTCTCTCACTTTGCTTTTAGAGGTAATATTTGATGATACTTTTTGTAAATAACTAAAATGAGCGTGATTATTTACTGAAAATTTATGAATCGAAAATCTGTACTAAGCTCGCAAATGGAATTGCTGAGTACTAAAACAACTGTTCAACAAAATTTAGCTTTTTTTATGTCACAAAAGAGAATTTAAAATTTCGTTTTAAATAATCTCTTTCTTAATTAAAAAAAGATATTAAAAAATTTGAATAAAAGATAGATTAAGAAATTAATTAAAAGATATCAATCTTAGGTTTTTACAGAAACACAAGTCGTTCTACAAGTGGAATAATATTCTTATTATCTTAATAAATAAGTTGTTTTTATTAACCCGTAAAGGACACCTCAGTGTGAATTCGCATCCACAAAATTTTCAACTGGTGGGCATTTGAGAACAGATGAATTTGACGATCTTCCCCCACTACGTAAATTATGTTTGTACTCTATTGTTTGAAGTAGAAAGGATTTTGCGCCTTAGTCATTACTTGAGGCACATTGAAAGTTCGTTTGGATGCGAAAAAACTCAAACTTTTTACTATCAAAAAAAAATTTATTTATATTTTATTCAATTAAAACTATTTTTTACTTAAAATATTCATTTCATTAACAAAATCCAGTGAGGTTTGTGTCATTTTATTTGAAACTAAAAAAATGGCAGTTATTTATTGAAAAAGCTTTTTTTCTAATTTTTCCAGAAATGATTTTACTTAACACGCAGTTTCGAAAACAATTACGTTTTTTTTTTTCAAAAATTTAATATTACCAATCGATTGATCAGAAAATTTTACATTGAAAAGCACACAAGTTTTGCTTTTAATTTTCAGAGGATATAAAACTTTAAAAACGCTTAGTGCGAATTCGCACTCAGGTGTTCTTTACGGATGTTCAAAAGAGATGTAGCCTTCACGGGTTAATTACGCTCCGCTAAAAAATTTGAACTGACGCGCTAGACTGAATTCGGATGGATAGACGCGCGAAGTTGGTCGCGATCACGTGACCGAATTTCGTAGGGTACTCGCCGCTCAGTTCACACGCGCGTCGCCATCGATGTAAAGATGAATTACGCGTCGTTCCGCGCTCTCGCGTTTGATTATCCGTCCCGGATGAATTTCGCGTACCAGTCAATATATCGAGTGCGTTAATCCACGGACGGACGATTGTCCCGATGCGTTGGATTCATCCGCGCGATCGTGCACCTCTCGATATTCGTGAATCGTGAAACGCGAGACGCGCGCGTACCATCGCGCGTCGGCGTCCGTGAGAGTGTTGTGTGTTTTTCATGTTTTCAAACGCGCGCGTACTCGGTGTCACTCCGCTCGTTCTGCGGATGTCGCGAGTGTCATTCAGCATTCGTAGCGTCGAGGAGCGTCGGGGGAAAAGAAGCCTGTGAGGAGCTGTCACGACGGATTAAGAGGAGAGACACGTACTCGAGTAGTGCCTGCGATAAACGGTCGCGTCGGCATGATCCGCGTTTGCCACCTTCTTCTTCTCTTTTTTTTATGAAACCTACCTACGTGGCACGAATCCCCGCGGCGTTCGTCATGATTGGGGATTTTCACGCCGAGAACGCGCCCGACCGGCGCGGCGTCGCGCGTGACGAAAAGTTGGGTTATGCTCCCGATGGATCCCGGATCCGTGAGCGATCGCGATTGCGTTTCTCGTATTGAATCGGCATCGATCACGCCCCACGTCGGAAATCGATCGAAAGTGCCTCGAGATAAATCTACGGGCGAGCGTTTCAGCGTGCCGATTAACGCGCGAGTGTAATGTGATCGAGTGGAGCGTTTGCATTGAGGTGCATCGAGGAGCATCGGGATGAATCGCGACCACTGAGATGTAAACATCACAACGGGCGAGTCAAATCAAGCGCTGGACCGGCTGGACACGGCGGCGATGTCCGGGAGACGTACGGTGAGTGCCTCGCTTGAATTTTTGAGTGCCTTATTTCTTGAATTTTTTTTGTGCCGCACGCGAAGCCGCGGAATTTGCTTGACGCAAAGAGAGAAGAGGAATATTTTCTCTTTTCGATTCAGAAACTTCTACAGTATAATCTGAATAATCTTCTGGTAGAAATAATAAAAGAAATTCTTCAAGTTGTCTGAGATTGTCAAGCAGGAGGGATTAAGACTGTAGGTAATAATATTTTCGAGATTATTTTTAGAATAAAAGGCAAAATAAATGTTTGTCATTTATAGCTTTGACGAGATGCACGATGAAATAATTGTTATTGTATTTCTAATGTAACGGAGTAATTTCAGTTCGCTTCTCGATATATTTTTTGCGTTTAACAAATTTTATTGAAATCAATATTTTTTTATCTTGAATAACCAAGAAATTCTTTACAAATTTTGATAATGCAGCTAATGACATTCGTTAGCGATCATTTGAGAATAGTAAAACACGGCCGATGTTGAAATATGATAATGTGGGATAAAATGCTCGATATTCGTACATCTCTTAAATGAGCGACAACCACAAGAAAATGTTAGCTAAAATACATCTCGATGCGCGGCTCATTTACCGTAAAACAGAATAGAATACAATGTGCTTTAACGCGCGGTGCAGTCGCGGAAGGACGCTTCATTTGCGGAAGTCGCGTCGCCGACGGCGAAAATCGCGAATTCTCCGCAACGACGTAATGTCGGCACATAATTAAAAGTGATTAATTAAACAACGTTTGCCGGCGAAACGCTGGAGCATCGTCGACGCAAACGAGCCGCGCGAACGGAGCAGCACGCGAACGATAATTATCTCTTTCCATTGTTTGGCTTACTAAGAAAACCTTCAAGGAAGTTTCTTCATGAGCGGGGTAATACGTTAGAATGGAGGAGTATCTGTATATATTCTCCCTTAAAAATTAGAATCTTTCATAATTTTTTTCACACGTATATCGATTTTTCACATAAATGACAATATATGTATTTCAGCTAGTTTTCCTCGATATTACTCTCTGTTTACATTGAGAGATATTGCTTGGTTTTTTTTTAAACAAAAATCTTTCCTGCACGCGTACCATCCGTAAATCTGTAAATGTCAAGCTTCTATGTTTATTAGATCCACAAAGGGAATATGTCTCGTATAAAAAGCTTACGGGAACCCGGTCTCTGTCTCACAAAGCTAAACCTAACGTCCGTGAACTCCACACTGTGACATTTAAAAAATACTCTCAGCCGGTTAAACGTAAATGACGCATCGATAATATCTATCTGATCTTTAAAGATTAACTGCCGTACTATTTTTTCCCCATCTACTTTAAATCACCGGCATACTGCCGTTCCGCAAATAGTTTTGTACTTTACGTTACACGTGGTTTTCGAAGGAAAAGCTTACGGAGTCGGATGCACGTGCGTAAACTATGCTGAGAAGGCACGGAATTCGTAATGTATCGCGCACGTTTATATTCCTTCAATTGAACAAACTCACTAACCGCCAAATTAGTTAAGCTTTTCCCGGAATTTCAGTAATGTGGAAACGCGTATAATGTGCACGGTAAACGAACGCGAGTTGATTTGTGGATATTGCGTGTTTTTATACCACTCTCTTTATCTTGCGACTTTTCGCAATTGAAATAGTCCTTCTGTATTGGGCTGAATGAATAAAATATATATTTTTGCATTGAGATAAAAATTCATAAGAGACGCGAAAGCTTTATAAATAATTATGACTCATGTTTAAACGTTTTTGCCTCATGTAAGATTTTTGTTAAAATTTAAACACATTATACTTAAGATTATCTGACTAATAAGATTTTCTTATCTATATTTACATCTCGAAAACTTGCCTCGCGTTATTAAATTTTCAATTTTTCTGAAAGTTGTAATTTTTCCTGTATAAAATGCTTTTTATCGTGATCCGTTCCATTAGCTGACGCTTTTTTAAATGAAATTGATTTACCGGTTTGATAGTGAATAGATTCGATACTCTATCGATCTCTACACTTTTCTCAAGAGTAAATATAAAATAAATTGAAAACGAATTTATTTTTAAGATAATAAAAAATTACGTTTAAATTACGATAAGGAAATATTTTGTATTGAACATATGTGAAATAAATTGAGGATTGAGATATTAGGAAGGATATTTTGCAAAAATAAATTGCTGATAAAAAGTAGTTAAAAACATTCTTTGTCAAGGGAAAAAAAGTAAAATCTAAAACATACATCAGTAAATACGAGTGGAAAAAAGAGAGTACTGTGCAACTGGCGATTAAAAAAGCAAATCCATACGTATATGTTGTGAAAATTTATTAAACTAAAATAATTTTGCGAGAATTAAAAAAAATATAAAAAAATAGTCGCGGAAAATTCAAAATATTTATTAAAAAATACGCATGAAAGATTATTGGAAAAAGTATTGCAAATGTCAAGTTTATTAGTTTGTTGTTTCAGTGAGTAAGTGAATATATGATATTAAACATGAATAAATTAAATGATTTATTAAAATATAAAAAAAATAAATATTAAGATAACAATATTATACCAAAATACTGTTTAAAGTAATATTACTTCACTTAATATTTTATGAAATAAAAGATTTTATTAATTATATAATTATAATTTCTGGATAGAATTAGCGTTTACTTCTAAAATTCTCATTAATTGATAAATTAGAACAAAAATAAATAAGAAATAATAGAGAAATTGCGAAATTCCACGGAACTAACACTTTAAGAAATTATACACATCCAGGTTCAATTAATTATGTTATGCGGAATAAAATTAATTGACATTTTGGGCCAACAGAAAAAGTACGTAGTCAATATTTAAATAATATGAAAGAAAATATTTTTATTAAATTTCTGAGTGCTCAGTGAAATATATTGGTTCAATTCTATCGTGATCTATCTTCCTATTTTTCTCGCATTTCCATTTGAATTCCACGAGATTTCGAGCGGCCTTATACGTTTTTATTTAGGGATCACGGGGGCAATTTCGTAGGTATTGCTGTGAAAACTTGCGATTTCCCGCGCTCGCGTTTTCACGTAAGTACGGCCTCGTCTCGTCAGGCTGGTAGCCATTTATTTTGCCACGGCGACTTGATTAAGCGTAATCGAGCGTGTGGTCTCGCGGGTCGTGAGTCTCTTATTATAGATATCGCCTTTCCTCGACGACGACGCAGCGGAAATTCAAGCGATCGGCCGTGGTATGTCGATAAGGTCACGCGATAACAGCTGTAGTCTCGGCTAAGTAATCTCGAAGATATATAGGGACAAAATTATAGCTATCGTGTTAAGCTATATTCCTCCGTTTCTTTCTCTTTCTCTCTTTTGCTTTCTCTTTCTCTCTCCCTCTCTCGAATGATTGAAAGCGTTATAACATTGATTGATCAGTGCTAATTTTATGTTGCCTACTAATCAGATAAGATTTGTATCATTTCTGCGACAAAGTTGCGATGCGACTTTTCCAACACGATTGAACATTTCGATTTATTTAGCATGCATGCTAATACTTCTTTGACGTGCGTGCAAGCATACCTATGTACTTGTTGGTGACTTATTGGTGAACAGGTTATTATAATTGGTGGGGGATAGAAGATACGAAAGATATAATTAGAAATGAGAGATACGAAAAGAAACCGGAGATGTATTAAAAAAACAGCAGAGGCGTTGAGAAAATCTTGATTATATTAGGATTATGAACGGCATGAGGGTTGGCACGATCTAGGTATAGTCTGAGGGATAACTGAACTATGACCTTTCCTGATAGTTCAAAATGCGCATCAAGGAGACAGCGAAAAATAATAGTTGGCACGGCTTTTTGTACAGTACGTTGCATGTAAAGCAAGAATTGAGACATCTTACATGTAAATCAAGGTTAATTCTATTAACTGTGACACAGCACGACAAGCATGATTTATCACTATGACATTACACATCACAAGAGAATTTAAAAATTTACAGATATCTATAAATATAAAAAGTTGCGAGGTCAATTGACGATAATTTAATATTGAAATAATGTATATTTATTACTTAATATTATTTGAGAATCTTCTAATATTCTAATATCTATTAATATTACATTTTTCTGTTACGCATTCATTGTGTAACATGATAGTTTAAACATGATCGTAGTTTAAAATTCGATCGCTTTGTTTCCAGAATTTTTTGTTGCAACCAATATTCACAGGAACACATTCGCGTAAATTGCATCCCATCATCGTGAAGCGCTGATTGAAGAAAACGAGAAAAACACAATGAAATATGTAACCGTTCAAGCCTGGCAATTACTATCTCCATGTTTTCTCGAATATATGTGTACTATACGTATTGCGAGCACATATTTTCATTCCCGTGAAACATCAATATCAGGTTTTTTTTCTCGAATAACAAAAAGCTGGCGTGCTGTAAAATTTTCCCTCAGAAATGATTCATTCGATCAAGAAGATCGTCGTTAAAACAAAGAGGGCTGTACTTCGAAAGCAAAATTTTGAATAAAAGTCTTTTTTTTTTTGTAACGTTAAATATATATCTCGGTATAGTCTGTCGTTTTACCGATTAGAGCACTCTTGCGAAATACAAAAACCGTCCCGCTTGTGACATGCGAAATTTTCTAAAATTCAAAATTAGCCCGCAACGTCGGGTTTTTTTTTTCCCCGGGCTTAGAGCTTGCAACGCGCGGCAACCTAATGAACTCGACGCAGCTGGGGCAGGCAAATTGCCTCGCCGCTGCATCGGCCACTTTGTTGCGCCTTTCTTTGTCGGTTCGTCACATTGCATTACCGCGCTCAGTTCGTACGGAGACTATTCGGGACGCGGGCGACGCGAGGCACGCCACGTGAGTTTAACTTTAATTGAAGCGCATTCAATCAGTCGACCAACGCCTGAGAGCGACGCGGCCGGAAAATCTCTTTTTTTGCTATAATCACGAACATTTATGCGCCGCGCCGAGGGGTCCTCGGGTCTGGAGCCTCTCTCCCGATGCATGTAGGTCAATCCGCACGTGTCGACTCTGCGGTTTGAGAGGTCACTGCTTGCGGGTGGAAGTGACGTGTAATAGCCGACCGATTTATCGACTTTTAATCCCGCGGAACGAGATCGGCCGCTTGGATGTACGCTGTGTACATGCGTTATTTGTTGTCTGATCTTGTTTCACTGCGACTCCAACGCTGCCGCTGCCGTCGTGAATATTGCGGATGTATATCGCGAGTGCGTATCGGATTCCGCGAATGGATAAGCGCGACAGAAACGTGTGTTCGGCGCTTCAGAAAAATCCGGTTTCAATAAGCGAAATAATGGAGAAGAAAGAGGTGATAGATTGGCACGGTACGCGAATTATATGATCGAGAAAATAGGTCACACATTGAAAAAGAAATTAGGATTCTGCAGGTAATAGGATTCATTTTTCTACGCATGTCAGAAGTGACAATTTTTGAGTTATCTGCAGCATATTTCGTATAACAGTTTTCTAATTAATAATATTAATTTCTAATTGGGCTAACGGCAACGATAACTTATAGCAGCAATCTATTTCATAAATAAGTATTTATATGCTGACAGGTTTATTTCTAAACTGTAGGAATATATTAATTATATTCTGCTTCTGATCTGGATTCTCCTTTGTGTTCAGACACTGAACATCAATCGTACATTATAGAGCGAGAATGGCATAATGCTGTGGAATGTACTTACCGGTCCCAAGTACTGCGCGTTAGCAACGGTTGTTTCGGGCGCGGCGAAGGCTGGTGTACCAGCCTGTCCCGTCAATAATTCCCCGGATTCTCTTAATTCCGTGCTGACGCCTAAGTCAGCGATTTTTATCCTGTCGTCCCTGTCCACCAGTAGATTGCTCGGCTTTATGTCACGGTGCACTATTTTTTGGTAATGCACTGCGAAAACAACAGCAAATATTATGTAATGTTATTTTTTAACGATCGATCGCGCGATCTTTATTACAATTAAATTCTAAAGATCTGAATATTGCATTGAGGATGCTTGCAGTTGTACGGAGTATTTTCTCGAGTCGAAGATCGTTTACGTAACTAATGAATTCATCTCACTTATCCCTTCCCTCGCGGAATCAGACCGGTGTTACAAGTTTTAAGTCGATTATTATCTAAGCAGCTTGATGTTTTATTGAATAGTATCTGACGCGACCACACCACACTCTCATGTAAAGTATACTAACGCGGTTAATGCGGGTTTACGTAATGTATGTGCCTCTTTCGTCATTGATCCGCGATGAGCATTATGATCTATAATAGGCACTAGATACATTACGCAAATCCGCCTGTCGAGGGGATTTGCATTCTATTATTTAATGCATACGTGATAAACATGATGTATGCCAAACGTGGACATATCATATACATATATGATTAAAACGCGAATCCTCTAAATTTTGAAAATTCTTTCAGCGGGAGAATTAAAAACGGGATTGAAAAGAGAACGAATTTTAAATCTCAATAACTAATTCAATTTGTGATAACATGACTGAAATCAATTTTCAAAACGTTGCACGCGTTTACTAGCTTCAATATATAGGATTTAATTTTAATTAATAATAATTTATAATATTTTAATTAGTAGTAATTTAATGATTTGAATTTTAATTAGTAATAATTTAATCATTTGATGAATAATTTAGAATTAGTTTTATGGAATTTTTTTTGCAAAAAACTTCTGAGTTTTTAAGAAGATGTTTACAGAATATGTAGCGACTTACAATATTCGACTCCCAAGACAACATCGCGGAAGTAACGCCTGGCCGTTGCCTCATTCAGAGGTTTGTCGGTGGGTATAAGGAGGATTTCACCCCTGTGGACTAGTTCGAAGACCAGATAGAGGTTGTCTTTGTCCGGATGGTCGAGCACCTCGACAAGTTTCACGACGTTTGGGTGATCGAGTTTCTTCAGGATGGCGATCTCCCTGTAAACTTTCGCCAAGGGATCGGCGCCCGCTCTGCGCGGTGGTATCCTTCCAAATATCCCCGTTTTTTTCATTAATTTCCTCTTGCTCACTATCTTCATGGCGTAATGCGTGCCGTCCTCCTCGTTGAAAACCTTCTTCACGACACCGAAAGAGCCCTGTTCAAGTGCAAAGTGATGCATAAGTGAAGGTGCGAGAAAGCACAGCGCGTCCCTGCTCTCAGACGCTTGAAATTTTTAGGGGGATTTTGCGTGGAATTCTCGACTACTACTATTTAAATTTCGAATATAACCTTTAACTCTTTCGACATTCTTGACAAATGTATTATTGAATTCTTCTGAGAAAATCACGTCGCCAACGTCAATATTAATTCTATTTATGCTATATAAATAATTGTAATAAATTTCAAGTCGATATTCGATAAAAATATCAAATTATTGAAGCATCTTAATAAAATAACAATTTTTCTTAATATTCTATATTTTATTTTTTTTCCAACAAAGAATATTTTTAGAGAGTATTTTCTCTCTTCTGCAATTTTTTTTGACGCGGACGAAGTTTCAAGTGGGGTAGTCTCGACATTGATACGAAAAATATTGTTAAATAATACTTTGGGATGAACACATTTTATATAAAGAGGAAATTACGGAGGATTTTATCGATAATCTCATGACTGTGTTCGCATCCTTTTACCTTAACCTTGCAACCCTTTTTGTGGTTCAGCTACGCTGTTATCATAATGCGCTTTATATCACCGTGGCGACTAGGTCGAAGGTCGTCGGCGATGCTATCGGGAGTGGAAGCATAATTTTATAGTTCACGGTATGGTCACCTTTGAACACGTCCGGTCGTGGTCATTATTTCGTTATAAATATATAAGCGACGAGAGCAAAATTTAAAAACATATCTATAAAACGCATATCTTAATCTCACATCTAATAATGAATATAACTTTCCAAGGTTGACTCTATGTGCCTTGAAAATTATACTGTTTGACAAGGAACTTGGAAAAAGTAACTTTTTTTTTATGACTAGAATATTGCCACATTATTTATATCACCTACATAGTTATGGTATCAATCGGTATCACTTGCATGACGTAAATTAATTCATCGTACAGGAATAGCTCTTGACGCAATATAATCCGTACAATATTATCTGTTTTTTTTTCTTATCTCGACAAGATCTTTACCTACTTTATAATTATGCAGCGAGGAAGGATCGATGTAACGACATTGCCGAGAGGACAGATCAATATGTATTGTACTGTTTATGAATGCATGACGATGGAGCGCGATTGCGCGATTTTGAACATTGAGTATTACGAGGTTGAAGCAATTAATTCGTCGGCATCAAACTCTATTTCGATCGATGGCCCTTACCTCGACGAGGAATTCAATCTCGAGTTCGAATGCATTTTAAACGATACGATAAGGGAAGAGAGATTAAATCATGTACCTTGCGAATTTGTCTCTTTCTCTCTTTTTCTATCTGCCGCTCATCGAAGATAATCTCACGCGTGAAATGACATTTGCCCTTGTTCATAAAAATTATTATATTTTTTCTCTTTTTTTCCTTGTTCTCTCATTTTCTCGTTTCTCTCTCTCTCTCTCTCTCTCTCTACCTCTATCTCTCTCCCTCTCTCTCGCTCCTTCTCTTCCCTTCCGGGGAAACGATTTGTGGAATTCCCGACGCGAACCTCAAGATCGTGCGCTGCAAACTTCTTCTCGCAGTTGGAAGCTTCGCGCTTTTCACTCAGTTATGGCAAAGTGCGAAGTTATTGCAGCGGTTGTCTTGTTTTCTTTCTCGCATTTATTTTGAATCCAATCCACTATACTGGATGCGTATAAGCACCGAGCTCCACATTCCCATTTTCGCACGGATATTTGTGTGCGCTTTCATTTGAGGGGAATGTTCGAGTGCGTCGTTTACATCAAACGGAATTTGCTGTTTTTCTAGAAGCGACTTTTAACCTTTCTGTTCTGTTCCACGTGAAGTTAATTCCGTGTTATTTTCTTCTGTGTTCCAATTTTCGTGCGAAGACAATTAAATTAAGCGTTTTTTATTTATTATTTTCCGAATCCTCTTTAATTAATTGAAAGATTAACGGAAAAGAAGTCGAGCCAGAGAGAAGGAAGGTAAATATGTATATTCCGACGGAAGGAATTCAACTCATTAGATAAGAGCCACACGGCAAACAATTCTCGAGAAAACGCGTCGGCAAATTAATGTGCCGGTAGAGAGGAAAAAAAAGTGGAATTTATTTATCTCGCAAATACGTCGTTTTAATGATCGAACGAATAAATGCGCATGAAGATGATGATTTTAATATTTTCTGCGTCGTTCGCAAACTTCCGTTCCTGCGGGCAATATTGCGTTATCGGGTGCGATATAACGTAATTATCGGTAATAATCCGTAACTGCGCGGCTGTTAATTACTTCTTAACAAGTACGAAGGATGGGCAAGAGGGGAAATTGCTGAAAATGATGACTCACGGCACGAGTTATTGGTTATCGAGGAACCGCCCGTGCTCAATATCGATAATCATATCATTCTCCCGTTTGTTACGTGAGCGCCGCGAAATGGTTTCGCTCTTCAATGAGAGGAATGCGATACGTTGATCCTCTTATCGACGAATACAGCTTGATTGTTAAAATGCCGCGGACATAATTGAAAAGGCATTAGACTGTCGCAATATACGCAAACCGTTTGGTGGATGGTCGATAATTTCGGCATGAGATATTTGTGATATTTTCTATTTACAATTAGAGCAGATCAAAGAGATACGATTTCTGTAGTAATTAATCGCTACTCGCTATGAAGTTTCTAATGATCATGAAATTTTCGCACTTTCTCGTAACTCGGACATTGAAAAATCAATTCATTATATTTAATAAATTGTAAATAAATTGTACAAGTATTTCATATTGTTTTTTTTTTTCATACGGATTTGGCAACTTTGAAATTGATTTCCTCCTAACAAAGACATCTATTTGATTTTTAATGTAGATTTTCATGAAAGCGGTTAATTGTAAGAAATATAATATATTTTTCGGGACGCAAATATATAAATTTGATTTTTAAATGAAATTGATTTTAGTGAAATTTTGATCTTACCTTTCCGATCTCGTTCAGCACTTTGTATTGATTCAATTGCTGTTGACTGTCATGCTGGCTATCGACGGAGCATTCCCTGTTGAGCGCTCTGATGCGTTTCCTGGGCGATCTATGAGGGCTGGCGTGAGGGTAGCGAGAATGAACGGATTTGTAGGTGACGTCAGCTTTCTCGAACAGTCGCTGACTCGGTCCTGCTTCGTCGGGCAAGGATAATTTTCTCAAATCTACAGTCCGATTACTATCCGAGGCAATAATAGTTTCCACGTTCTTGTGCACATTCTTACAATTCGAGTCGCCGCTACTAGAATGATCGGTGACAGTGTCGACTCGTTGAATCGCGCCTGCCTCGCCCGATGGTGCATTTTTGTCGCTGTCGCGTGGAAGGTAAATATTGGGGTTCTTGAAGATAGACGTCACTTGCATATCGCCTAAGAAGATATTGAAAACAGTGAAAATTCTGGCAAATCAATTTTGAAGAACATACACTTTATGCCGTCATTTTTTTATCTTACCATCGAGTAACCGTTCCATTAAGTAACAAAATTGAGAGGGACGAAAAACACGATTTATAAGAATAAGATTATACTATGTAACAAGTAATCTGTTTTTTTTTAAATAAAAGTAATGTATATGAAATTATATATAAGAAAAAAAAAATTTTTGTTGCGTCGATTTTGTTGGGGTGATTTTCTGCGTTAGAGAGTTTTGTCAAATTAATTTGTCTATGATATTTATCGGGATGACTTTGTAATTTTCCGTTCTACATTTTCAAGAATTTCATTCTATTTAATTTAAAAATCCATGATCCGTTAGAACAGTATCATTCCAGGTGCTGGATCGTGACGACGACGTATAGTTTACTTACTGAGACGCGTCGTCAGTCCCTCGCTGATCTCCTGGGTCTCGAAGCTCTTCTGCCGGGGTAGAGTTTTCTCTCTGACGACCTCCTTCGCCTCATCAACGTCAGGCATGTTGAGGTCGGAGCCCGACACCTTTCTGTGTATATCCGTCGTCGGCATTCTCTCCTTCGCTGTATCCGCGGACGGCTCAATGTTCTCCTCTTTTCTACCAGCAAGATCCTCAATCAAGGCTCCGAGCGTTATCGATTTCGATTTGTATTTCTCCTTCTGCTCTTGCGTGTCGCCGCCGCCGCTCGTCGCGGAATTTCTTCTGTTGTCCTCCAGACTGTCACGCCGACTCACGTAGCCGCTACTCTGCCTTCGGAGAACATCAGTGGTAGCCTGTGTCACAGTCTTCAGCGTACCCTCTCCTTCTTCAAGGTATAATGCGCTATCTTTGCGTACTTCTTGGATGTACTCGGGACTCGACAGTACTTTCGACGGACCCGGCGCATCCGACGGTAATTGTTCAGCGTCTTTCTTCGAAGTGGGTGAATTTGTGGGAGAGCTATCGACCGCAGAACCTCTGAAAGAAAGAGAAAAGCGAGTTTTTTCATCTGTGCACTTTTTCAATTAGACGATCGTAAAAGTATTTAGAGAAAAACGTTCATTCTCTTGTAACATTTTTTTTTTGCATCATCGCTATTTCTTGTCGACGGGAATTGTATCTTTGCAACAGAGCAGATTGATCATGACGTAACTTTTTTTTCTACCGTAAAATATTGTATTATTAATAGTGCAGCGCATGGACGTTTCGCGATGATAATTTTACGACAAGTAAAATTACCTTAAACTTCCGGTTATACCATATGTCATACACCATTTATAAAATTCATAAGGTTTTTTTTTATCAAAGCGTTATCCCCCGTTATTACTGCGCCGTCGTTTAAAAGTGCAGAGCTGCAGCTCGATAACAAAATGTCAGACAGCCAACGCGCAGTAGTGGATTATCGAGATAATCGCTACGATACTTGACGCCATAAAATAATCACGGAACGGGAGAAAGAGCGTCACCGACACGCGATTAAATTCTTTTAAATGGCCACGAATATATAAATAAAACTTTGACAATGCGAATGAAGTCTCACATGTGACCTGGTAAATGAACAGCTCATTTATTGGCTTGGATTACGCTGATAACGAGGCACGTCGAAATGCCGATAAATTAAACTCTAAAATGTCTAAAGTCTAAAGTCGGGAATAGATAACGATTCTGGTGTCCTTTAAACGACATTACTTTAAACGATCTTGCGTCTTTGCATTTAACATGCTCTTAACGTCGCTCTTATTGATCGTGTCAATGAAGAGTATTACAATTGTAAAATAGATTTCACTTTTGTATCTTTTTACAGAATAATTATTTGTATTTTTTCGAATATCTTTTATTAGTTTCAAACAAGATATTAAATAGATATAAGGATCACTATATACATATATGAATCAGAATAATTTTTTTGAGGCTTATTACCAATAAGGCAGCATTGAAAAATAATCATTAAAAAACTAAAAATGCAAGTTTATGTAGTAATGTTACTAATATTATTAGAAAATTGTGTTACTAATACTATTAGAAAATTTTCTTTAACAAATCCGAGTTTAATTAAGCTACTTACATCTTGCTTTTCTTGCTTTTCTTTCTCATCATCACGAATTGCCTTATTCACGGAACAAAGCACTGTGACACGTATCACTTCGAATAGGTCTTGGATTATGCTTGTTAAGCTTCTCGATCAACTTTAGGAACTACATGACAGATAACAGAGTACCTGTTCCCCCAATAATATTTATTTATTTGTACGTGCGTATTTAATAATACAGTCATCGAACATTTAATAATACAGTTATCGAACCTCGATAACTCGCGCGAATCTCTGTGGAAGAGAAAATATCTTCGAGTTATAGAGTTTTCGACTTATCGAAATTCGAGTGAAAAAGCTGCAACTTCGAATTACAGAGACAGCGACAATAGAAGTTTGACACATAGGGGTGAACTTCAACTTGTAGAGGTCTGGCTTTAAATTCGAGTTGCAGAGGTAAAATAATACATCTAAATCCGACAAATAATTCAAGATTTTATTTCGATTTATAGAAGTTTTCGAGAGTTGTAGAGGTTCGAGTTATCGAAGTACGACTGTATTTATATTAATATTCGTGTCGTATAGAAACGGATGTGGCATTATAATAATTATTGTCGAAACGATTTGCAGTAAATGTAAAACGTTCGTCAATTTCGTCCAATGTCAAATAAAGTTATATAAAGCTCTTAAATTAAGCCAACAGCTGTGCGAACTGTGTGGCAACTAAGATAATAATTTAACATTAAATTGATTCTGAGGAGTCGAGCGGTAACATCCTCATTAAATTCCGAGTTGTACGGAGTCGCGTATAAATACGTGCTCATTCACACTTCACAGCAGAGAGGAGCAATCTGCAATTGAAATTTGTCGGCGATGCGGTCACATGTCGAAACGTGGAAATACGAAATTTAAATAACAAATCGATTCCGTGGCGCTCACTGCTTGCCCCGAGATAAAATGGAGCAGAAGATAAAATCGTCGACACGTGTAAGATGAGCTCATGTTCCTTTCAATACAATAGGCGACTAGGTTTCACCTCCGTTCGCGTCGTATGTGACAATGTACAAGATCGGGAATATCTTTTGCATTACACACGAAATGAGGCAAAGTTAAGACGTGATTAAATGAAACATTTTAATTCCTTTTGATGGATCTTGCGTGATATCATGATTAATAAATTAGATTAAAAATTAAGAAACTTAGCAGGTTAATTTGACGAAGGAAGAATATATTATCATATCAACGTAGGACCTTTGAAGAGCGTTTGGTCTACGAAAATTAAATTTACGACCTTCGAAACTTTTGCACACGAACAATTAGACAATAATGAAAAATGTACACGTCTTTATTTATTAATTATACACTCACATCTGATATAATATTTAACGTTAACTATTACTTCAACAAGAGTCGCGTGACTATTACTTGGTAAAGATTAAATCTTTCATTTGCGTGACGGTGCAACTTGTCAGAACTTCATTCTGCCTCTCTTAGAGAAGCGTGTACTGTTCTTCCACGTCTACATCATAAGCATTTTTGTGGGCGTAAAAGTCGACAGTCAAAACATCGATAATATGCGGTAGTCCATTTTTCATCCTTCGTAGATGATGGAATAATGGAAGGAGCAACGTTATACTTCACGGCACGCGAGGCGCCGCGCCGCGCCGCTTGCTACCCACGATGATGTGCCCAGGGAGTGCGATTCGATACGAAGCCGGTGCACTCGGTATGTGGATCAATTGTACGGTCCAAACTAGGCCAATGAATGCAATGGCGAGATGCAAGATTCACCATTCGCCGCCGCATGGACAAAGTGGCATCAAACTCAAAACGATCCCCCGACGCGAAGGGGTTGTGAGCGATGGCGCCGTCTAATTGTAAGATGTGAGCGAACTAGAAACTCTAACACTCTAATAAGAATCGCGATATTGCATTTCTCAACTCTATCAATCTCTGAATCTATGTTGATAGAGTTACGTATTTACAATAGAAGTTATATGGGAGTGATATATATTTTTAACTTACACATAAATATTACACTTTTGGAAAATACATAGAATTAAAATTCCTAAAAATGAAAAGAACAATTTAATGAAGAAGATTAGTTAATAAAAAGTTATTATTAGACTGTTTGCGTGAATATTTTAGTAAGTAAACGGAAAAGGCATTTTTTAACCATCAATAATTAAATGTATATTAATAATTAAATATATCTAGAGAATTTCACTTTTCTATATATTTTGTTTTCTATAAAAGTAAATATAGTACCGCGAAATGATGTTGCGCCTTCCAATTATTCCATCATCTACGAAGGATGAAAAATGGATACTATCGCATATTACAATGTTCATGACTTATTATTATCTTTATTCTCTTACAATTAGATTTATTTGTAGTTTTCTTTATATTTCTACTAGTATAAGTAAGACCTCAGGGAAAATATAAGACGATTAATTCATCGTAATTATAGCCATTTGCTCGTAAAATCAAATCCCGTGTGCTGAAGCGTCCTTCAACAATTTGCTTACACAAGCGCATAGGGAATAGTTGCGCGCATCATCGCTTACAAATGCGTCGAATAAGGCGAGGTAGTTCAGCGCAAACCTATCAAACTATTCCCGTATAATTTGCGCAAACTGCATACTGGATTCAGGATTGCATACAGTAATTTCTAGTACTCCTTTAATTATAACTTTGATGTTTCAATATCTATTATCCTGGCATAACAAAACGTGGCTTTAATTATCGTAATTTACTATTAGGAAATAAATAAATTGCTAGCAATCTTAAATCAAATGCGAGCAATTTTAAAGTTTAATATTAAAGTAAAATTAAATGATTGTTAGTATTAAAATTAATAATTTTAATTACAGTAATTTTCAATATTGGTAATTAATGAAAAAGAAAACATTTTCTATGATAGTCATATTTACATTTTTATGTAGATTTTTTTACATAAAGAGATGACTTGAAAAATTTGTTCGCAAATTTGAAGTTTGCTCATTATTAAGAACTTTCTTTAATAATCTAATCTTGTTAGGTATTTTACTTTCCTTAATAATCCAACTTTTGCAAGTTACTTTCGCATGTAATTTTCAACAACTTTAACCGTAAAAACGTTTGCGTTTTGCGCGAGAAATGCGCGATGTCGAAACAAAAATTAGCCGCAGTGACAGATGTTTACACGCAAGAACATGTATGTTATTCGAGGAATGTATCGTCGTACATCGGGGTGAAGTGTCGTTGCAAGTGCAATTAATTGACATAACAGTGTACGAGTAGAGCTACGTAAAAAAGTTGTTTTGCAATTACAAAAATTCTGTGTCGTATATTGAAATGACTTGTAATTAAAATAAAATAAAAAAAATATGTGTGTGAGCGCTTCGTAATTTCTTCATAAATTTTCAAAATTCTATTGTACGTTTTTCGTGAAAACGCATCTCGCAGCTATGCAAGATTAAAAAAATAACCTTCACACCTTCGCGTCATAAGTTTTCATTTATAATTGAGTACACATCGAACGCGGAAAGTTTTTACATGCAGTTTCTTCGTACAAACGCACACACGTCTCGGCAACCGGTTGTCACCTGTTATGCTCAGCAAGGAATATCGCCGGGACGTATGTACAACGCATTCCGTAGAAAAACATTTAACACTCGATGTGAAGCCGCGAACGATCCGCGAATGCCAACGAGCGAGCACGAATGATGCAGGGTTTCGGTCTCGGGATCGCGATCACCGCAAAAACCCGGCGACGCGTGTCCGTTGTTGTTTACGTACCTGAAGCACGTACCACCGCGGAATGCGTATTTATCTGCATTTTGTCCCGCCGTTGCAACCGCGTCCGACCGACAAATGAGCGATACGCGCGTAAATTGCCACGCACTGTCGGCGTGGCGTAGACGAGAATCGAGAGAGCGCTAGAGACTCGAGAATCAAGCAATTTGTCTAACGTTGTGGACTTTTGTCTTTAAAATGGAATTTCATTTATTCCTCAATTTATAAACTTGATAATTAATTATCCGCATGATTCATATATGAGAGCTGTTTCCATCTAGTTTCTTAACTTTTTGCTGTATTGTTTTTCTTAAAATTTATTTTTTCCTCAGAAGAAGTAATGCACTTCTTTTGAGAACACTTGCACGTTAAAATATTATTTTTCTTTCACTTTGAGATCTTATTAATTTTGTTCTCTTAAGAAAAGATGAAAGCTTATTTAGTGTGATTAAAAAGCTCTCTACCGATGGAAATTTAATTCAACTTTAAGGTAAAAGTTCAGCAGAAAGGTTAATATTTTCCGTTGTTTTATATCTCCGGAAATGGCGCGAGGAGAGAGAGAGAGAGAGAGAGAGAGAGAGAGAGAGAGAGGGAGAGAGAGAGAGAGAAATGAATACAAGGAGAAAAAAAATGAGTGGACGTTAATAATGGAACAATCAGCTGGTTTTTGCGGTCTCACGCGGAGAAAGCGCAAGAAAACGTGAGAATTTCGCATTTCCTCCGGCAAATTGCATAACGCAAAAAATGATAAAAGTGTGCCACATCACGTCGGAACTGTCTCGTTACTTGCTAATTGTAACGTAAGACCAGTATGCCAAACGAGTCATTTCCATATATCGCCCGCAGGCGAATATTTCGTTTCTTGTTGTTATTCACTTCTGGTTATTATACTTCTGATTAATATTGCAGAGGCCATAAGCGATGCGATAAGAACATCGTAACTTGTAGTAATCTTATCACAGAGTGGTCGATTATTCGGTTTTTACTACTTAATGGCATTGAAAGACTGATAAAGCATATTTACAACGTTGCACTTGTGAAAATATTTTATTTAGGATAAAATATACTGACGAGCATATAACACCGCATGTTTGGAACGTGTTGTTTATTTTGCGTTAAATATTAGATTTAAGTTTTTAAATATATCGAAGAAAATTAAAATTTTCAGTAATATAAATTAATCTTATACATAAATCACCGTTTGATGTGTAAAATATAGGAAATAACGTGATTCTCTCGTTTAATCGTGCGTTACCGTAAACCTCAGTTTCTCGTGAGATAACGATTGATGTGTGTGATCACGAATTACGTTTTCGTATGTGCATATAATGTGACAGCTACGAATACACCTTGAAAGGTCTTTTTGACTAATAGACTCATAAAATAAAATGAATACTCACAGCTCTGAAAATATAGTTAATATAATTTTCTCATAATTACTTTGCGTCACGCTGCTTTGATATCGCATGCTTAAACCTTGGCATTTCTAATTAATGTCCTAATAATGTCTATAATAAATATATATACATATATTTTAATATCTAAGCAGCGATAAAAATTATGATTTTTTAAAATTACGTCTTATGCATCGTAATGTTATTTTAACTTTTGTTTATAAAGTAAAGTTAAATGTTAAACTGCACGTATTAATTATTAAGTAATTACTTTCAAAAATTATACATGGAAGTGTAACGCAAAATGTAACTGTTTTAAAAATGCATTCTGTGGAAAATGAAAATATTCGAAGAACAAATTACCGGAGTTTAAGTCTGTAAATGGCTCAATTATGTGTCTTCGGTGACTTCTGCCGAAACGATCGAAAAAGTTGCGCAATCAGAGCTAAAGTTCTCGATCGAAGAAAGGCCGTAAAGTCCACCGCGATTGATCTGGACGTCTCTCTTAATTAAGATTCATGCCCGCGAGGCATTAATCAACCGCGAACGGCATGCCGAGAAGGCTCCGAATAATTAATTATTATTCCAGGAATGAGCATACGCGCCGCGCTCGCTCACACACTTACATTCTTCCTTTATCCGAAGGACAAATCGGCCACAAGCCCGGCGTAATCAGAGCGATCGCGATGGTGGGTGGTGGAACCAATATATTAATTAAACTGTAATTACATTGTGCGTACTCTCGCAGCGCACGTCACGCAACACGCTCGTCCATGCGTGTATCTAAATAACAAACGTACTGAGCGCACTCGTTGTTTATCCTCGAATTTATAAATGTAATTTATTTATTGGCGCAATTATCTCAAAAATGCACAATTTTAGGATCGTGCAAATAGTGCAGTCAATGCAATCTGCAGCGTGCCTGCTCGGTTCAGGAATTTTATTGTAATTTAATAAATTAAACGTGAGAGGGAAGTACCTATGTGAAAACGAGAGCACGACAATTGCAACATCATATTTCGGTTTTAACGATAAAGCACGCTGGCAAAAATGAAAATGGCGATATTAATGTTTTATGATTTTACATTATGCCCATAATACGATATCATACACTCATATAGGAGCTAAAATGCGAAGCCGAAAAGTTTTTGTTGACTGACAGTAGTTGCATCTTTGACATTAGATCAAGCGAAGTCCATTAATTAATGCCATCCGCGTAATTCTAACTTTAAATTATTGGAAGCTCCTGCGATATATCGTTCAGGGTCAACATGTGAATCTATCTGGTCGCGGTAGGAATCCGCAACTCCCAGCTCTCGAGTTCTGGCAAATGCACCGTATTATTTGCTCCTGACATAAAACGAGGGCCTCAGGGAACCATACATTGCCGCTTTACGATGCGTGCACCACGTATATACAGTCGGTACAGCAAATAATACAGTATACGATAAATCCTTCAAAGCACTGCCGGGTGCCGTGCTATTTCTTATTCGCGCTGCTGATATTTTGTGTCGTGACTTTTGACATGAGGTTTCCAAGAGAAGCCTTTACAAGGACGCAGTTACCTTTTATTAAAATGCGAAGCTAGAGTCCATAAATATATTATTTTTTATTATCTCTTGAAAATGCCAAGCTTAATTTTAAATGTCTTTTTTACTGCTTAGAAATAGATTTTTTTATCTCTTTAGATTTTATTAATGTAAATTTTTTTTTCCTATTAAAACGTTGTTCGAAACATCAGTAATTTTCAAGTACCTAAAAGCGTCAGAATATAAGGAGTTTATTGTAAATTGAACGATATTCCTTCTCGGGAATAGTTGAATAACTTTATGTTTAAATTTGAACTGACTGTATTTTCTTGAAAGTTTATTTTCCAGAAGTGTTTATGCACAAAGATGAAAAATCTGTAGTTGCGTCGCAATAATTTTTTATATCGCTTTGAAATAGAGTTGACAATAAAGTATATGTGCGACTGTCGTGAAAATCAAAAAGAAATAACGGCAACATAAATTCTCCATAAGTCTCCATTTTTCTACCGAAGCGAATAATGGCGACCGATATCG